CACAGACACACACACAGACACACAGACACACACACACACACAGACACACACACAGACACACACACACGCACACACAGACACACACACACAGACACACACACAGACACACACACAGACACACACACAGACAGACACACACAGACACACACACGAAGACACACACACACACAGACACACAGACACACACACGCACACACAGACACACACACACACACAGACACACACACACAGACACACACACAGACACACACACACAGACACACACACAGACACACACACACAGACACACACACACATATCCAGTAACACTCTTTTTTGACTGCTCCGTCTCGGCGGCGTCCCCGGAAAAGCGGACGGCCAACTATAGCTTCTGTTGGCTCGTCCTCATTCGCCGGGTGTTTCTTTCACTCCCGCTTGCTTTTCCACGGGCAAAGGCATCCAGGGTCCGAGGGCCTGGGGCCCGGGGCGGCCCTTGGGTGTGTGACTCTCACCACTGTTCTGCGTGTGACTCTGAGCAGCGGTCAGGAAAGTCAAAGTGTTTGCCTGAGATTGCATGCACTGCGTTACGCTTTTGGTAGTGGCATAGCTGTACTTTGAAGTGCCCCTCTTCTTTCATGTCAAGTCATGGTTTGGGGTTTTATGGGTTTGGGAGGGACGTGGGGGACTCACCAGATTTCCAACAAAGACCAGGGACTCCTGCGGTTCCCATGTGGGAAAAAGTAGTGGTGGCCGTGGCTCGCCTCTAAAACCTTAAGCCGTGGTAGCCATTTTAGAAGCTGGTCCTACTTGGCTTCACTTGAGGCCATAGTAGGGCCTCATGAAACCTTGTGTCAGTGCCAGACTGGTTTCATTGAGGGCGCCCTCCATTGGACAAACATCAGAAGGCATGACCCAGTGGTTCAGTGGCACCGGCACCCGCCTAAAGTTCCCCAATGGGTGCCCCACTCCGAGCGATACTACACGGTGACTTAAACGTGCCCAGGGAGCTCCTAGGAACTCTTTTTCAGAGGGTCAAGGCCGTGTGGAGTTGCTTCAAGGATCCTCGCTGTAGGGCTTCCACTGGACAGAACTTGTCAGTGCGAGGAAAGCTGGATTGTGTGTGTTTGTGCCGTTTTGCGCCTCTAGTTTAAATGAGGATGGCATTTGAGTGGTTGCCCACGCTCGAATCTTCCACTCGCCCCGCCATCGGCCAAGCTGAGGTTGTATGCGTGCGCTCTTCACTGCATTTTTGCGGTGCTGATGTTGCCTGGCACCGCTTTCGAGGGCATGGGGACGCCAGGATGGGGATTCCTACAGACCCAGTGAAGCGGGCTTCGCCGGGGAAGGTTACTTGGGCAACACCCTGATATTAGAAGACTGGCACCCTCTGCCTCATGCAAACAATTGTGTGCGTGTTCGCAGGTGAGCTCTGCCAGGTTTTGGCAGGGCTTGGCCTGAAACATGCTGGACTAGTTGTGCCCAGATGAGGGCATGGTTCATTGAGTTAACTTGTCGAAGTTCAGAATCACACCATACTGCCGCACAGAGACCAGAATTCTGTGAAGTTTGCACATCGCGTGCCATTGGGTCTGAAGATCCACTCGAAATGCATGTCCGATTGGCATTGTGAATCCCGGGTAGCTCGAGCTCCGAAACCCTCGCAGTATTTTCGAAGTGAAGCGGTGGAACGCATCCTCAGTTGCGTTTCGCTAGGTTCGGTCAGCCCTGCGTCTTTCCAACCCGGCAAGTGGGCGGCGACCTAGGCGGGCGATTTGTTTGGGGTGGTTGATGTTTGGCAGAGGGGTGGTCTGCACAAATCATCAATAGGTCACGGGGAGGCGGGGGGTTAGGCGAGCTCACCCATGAAGGGACCGGGATCCCAGAAATTTGGTTGGTGAATGATTCGTAATGTGCCCAGATTGATTGACACATGCTTGAACTGGCTTTGGCCTCATCCTTGGGCTCATGAGTATGAGTGCAAAAGAGTTGAGAACCACTTCTTTTGGTTCTCAACTTTCAGCAATCAGACTTCGAGTGCCGTTGGCAACGTGCTTGGCGTTCTCCCCGTGCTGAATTGAGAAGCATGCCATTTAGGAGATTCTTGCCGGACAACCGCAAGCGGCTGAGCACTGTATACACTGGTGATGAACCTTAAATGCACCGTCCAGCCAGGGTGCTATCTTTAGCCCTGTGCAAACCAGGCCTTTAGAATTGTGAGTAGCAGGGAGCCTTATTCAGTGACGATAACAATTGTCATCAGTCATGCGCACAACCCATTCCAGAACCCCACCATTGGGTGATTTTTTTTTGGCATTTGCCAGCGTCCGAACAACGCCTAGTAATATAACATAATCGGTTTGTCCCCGGGAGCTCCCCTGGCCCTTTCCTGAAGCTGCAAGTTCTCATCGGATGACAACCTTCAGAACTCTCCCTGGGTATCGGAGAATATGTGCTATTTCCTCCTTGTTGTTTTAAAGGGAACCTATCACTGGGAATCTGTGTATTTCTCCAGAAACCTTGAGCAAATGAAAGAAATTCATTACAGATTGGTAGATGTTCCCACGGCGCTTGCACCACATCGCAGCTTCGCCAGGCGCGCTGCTTCAGCAGAATGGCGGGGACGCCTCCTCGGCCCTAGGGATCAACACCGGAATCAGCGAGAGACTGACCCAGGAGACCAGTCCTCAAAATCTTGTTTTTGGCCGAGTCCCAAGACCGGGAATTGGCTCTTGGTTGGATTTGTGATTGAAGGTAGGCTTAAACCCAGGCACCGGTTCCGATTTCCCGTTTTGAAACCAACCACTGGGTCGTTTTGGCCCTGGAGTGAGTTCTGGGGATGGCACCTTTCTCCTCGCAACTTATTTTCCGCCAGGCGTTTCAACCCTGTTAGCCTTGAGCAAGCAATGCCACGGTCGCTGAATCACACATATATATATATATATACACAGTATGTGAAAGTCTCATGAAGACACAATTGCTGAGCCACACCCTTCCAAATAAGCCCAATGTTCAGGTCAGCTTCTGATCTGGGGGCGGGTATGCTGTCGGGATGAGTGCTTTTGACAAGGGTTTGCAATGAACAGCTCTAGTCTCGCGCGCGTGCGAACGTGCACGCGTGCCTGCGCGAGCATGTGCGTGTGCCAGGGCTTGCGAGCGGCTGTGCCTGCTTGCCTGCATGCGTGCGTGCTTGCCCGCCTACATACCTGCATGCCTGCCTGCCTGTGTGCCCGCGTGACTGCATGCCTGCATTCCTGCTAACCTGCATGCTTACGTGCCAGCGTGTGCCAGATTGTGTGTGCCTGTGTCTGTGTCTGTGCCTCTGTCTGTGTCTGTGTGTGGGTCTGCGTGCTGCGTAGGTTTGTGTTTGCCTTTTTGCTTTGTGTATTATGTTTGTTGTGTGTTTTCTTGTTGCAAGTTTGAATTGGGGGCGGTTCAGGGTGTTTAGTGCTCATTTTGGGCTTTTGTCCTTGCAGAGGCGATTCGACAATCCTCATCCCAGGATTTGGAAAAGAGCTCAAGGGAAAGTGTCACTCAATGCGGCTCTGGATGAGTGGGCGTGGGTGAGCGGGTGGGGCGCGTGGTGCGCAACATGCTTTTGTGATGTGACATGTTCAACTGGTCCCTTAAAGTAATTAAGTATTCCCAGAATTTTCAAGAATTCTTTTGGGCCAGGGGCTGGGTTCCCTTCAAACCGCCCTTGAGCTCGGGCAGTTCATTTTGGAGGGTCCCTCCTTATGGACCCGACGCAGGAGACCACCTGGATGTTCGTGGCCTTCTTCGCGCTGCTCCTGGCCTTGTGGGTCTTCTGGTGGCTCAAGGTCATCTTCGCAGAGACGCGCCTCGGGCTTTGTGAGCCTGGACCCGCAAGCAGTCGGGTCCCCCAAAAACGCCCGGCAAGGCTGGGAAACCAGGAAGACTTAGAAGACTTGGAGGAGATTTGCTGGTATCCTTTTGACCACGGCCTTGGGTTCTATCCGCCGTCTCGCCATCTTACCCGGCTTCTGCTGAAGCTGCGCTAAGGAAAGTTTCATCCGAAGGTGGGGTATAAGAAGAGCCGCAGGAGTCAACCTCAAGTATCGGCCCAGGGCAGTTCATGTGTGTTTGTTCCAAATGTTCCTTGTATCGTTGGGGGTTTGCGTCAGAATGCAGGAATCTCAGCATGGATTCGAAGGAGACAATCGGCGGGTTTTGCGAGACGGCCCGCTTCAAATGCCCAATGCTCTGAACCAAATGCACGGCCCTCCTGCCAACAATCGTGGACATGAAAGGGGCTTGCCCTGAAAACTCGCCGTGAAAGCACCTCATTTCCAACCTGATTGTTGGGAGGGGAGTTGTGGGTTCCCGATATGTCCCCGGTTTCACCAAACACTTTCTCTTTTTGGGGGACAGGCGGAGGCTTCCGAATTTTTGGTCGTCGCAGGTTTGGCACTGCGGCTTCGATGTGCTGGTCCCTCTGCTGTGCCGCCCCGAAGCCCAAGGCGGGGCTAAGCTTTTGGCGAGCATGCTTTAAGCTCCAGAATCCAAGAAACGTGCGGGACCCCCCCAAATCAGGGCAACTAGTGGTTTCTGAGGGATGGATGACAAATGGTCAGCCCAGCCCATGTTGAACAGAGAGTGTAAAGGCAAGGCCTAAAGATGTGGCCGGGCCAGATTGAAGATCTGCAAGCCAGCAAGGCAACAACGGAAAGCGACTGCCTTGGTCTGTGACAGCATTGGGTGCGAAGGGAAAGCAAGGGAAAGCGGGAAAGCAAGGCAGGGGAAAGCATAGGAAAGCATAGGCCAGCAAGGGAAGTAAGGCCATCCGGTTGGGGGCGGCATGGGTGGCAAATGAACGTTGTCAATGAAGGCAGCCGCAAACTTGGGTCCTCACTGTCGTTTGAAGGTTCATTTTCTCTTGACTTCCAAAAGGGACAAGTGGCAAGGGGGAGCAGCACTCAGGCTTGGGGAAGTAGGTCTTGACAGACCCAGAGAGCCACGAATTTCAATTGGCTGACCCTTCATATAGTGTTCCAACCAGTTTCATGCGGGCGCCCATTATTTTTGCAGCCGCGTGATGACATTGTACATTTACATGTGTACACGTATCTTCATATAGATATGAATATGTGCGTATTCTTGTACATAGTCTCGTAACATACAATGCATATGTCCGACCGTTTTCCATTCAAGTCCGGGCCTTCTCCTTGGCGCTCTGGTTCTTTCTCGCCGCGGGCGGGTGGTTTTTTTTCTGGCAGGAGGAGATCATCACGACGCCGGCGGCCAGCGACGCGGGCCTGGATGGCACTCTGAGGAGTGTGACGTCCAAGACCTCCAAGAGCTCAAAGAAGGCCTGGCGTGGGGATCGAGGGGTTGCAGGGTGCGGATTGAGGGGTTGGGGTTGCGGGCTGGGGTGGGAGGTTCTTGTTCTTTGTTTTTTGTTTTTGAGGGTGCTTCCAACCTTTTGGAGGTTGGGGATCAAAGGGGAACCAAAAGGAAGACAGCACATCTTGCGGTCCGATGCTCTGTTTTGACACATGCCCAAGGGGTGCTGTGGGCCTTGAAAGGAACCAAGTTCTGGTAAATCGTGTTGCATTGCCTCGGCTTCAGGATGTCGATGTGGCGGAGTCGATGACCTGGAAAGAGGCGCGGCCGGGCAAATGGAATTTGCAAAGGTGTGGAGAAAGCCTGGTGGCTTGGTGTGGCTAAGTCCAGCCCATTCTTTCCGGGCATCCTTATTTCCAGGAAACCACCAAAACACCAGGCGAAACGGATCATGGAATTGGCCTGAAATGGGGATCCATGCGGTGAAGTGTTGCTTGACCTACCTTCACTACGAAATGCACTTACTCAAGACCAATCAGAACAACATGTTCCTTTGAGATTCTCTTGGCGGCTAAGCCATGCCACGCTGGCATTCTTCGGAGTCTGGCACGTTACAGGGAGAAGGTAGACGGCCCATTTTCCTTTCTGTGTGCAAGCAAAGGGGACGACTACGTACCATCCCGGTGCCAACGTTACGTTCTACATTTCAATAAATGGGGGGTCCTGGAGTCCTACTCGGGAACAAGACAGGCATATCATTGTCCTTGTCTTAGCCTTTTCCCTCCGCTTTCTTGATCCGCAGGCGGAAGAGATCATCGAGCGTGTGGCGCCGCCTGCGTGCTATCACTGGTGGAGGCACCCGGATCAGCGCCTTGGCGCCCATGACTCGCGCAAGGCGAAGAGGCGTTTTGTGTCTTGTTTTGAGCATTTGGCATGTTGTTTTTGTTTGTGTTTTGCAAAGGTAGCAATAGCTGGTGTTTTTGGTTTTGCCAAGGTAGCAATAGCTGTAGCCTTGCATTTCCGGGTCCTTTGGGCAAGTGAGTGACATGTGGTTTTGAGCTTGTTTGACCGAAGCTTCCCTGGCTGGCTTACAAGCTGTGCTCGCGCTGTTGCTCAACGGCCTTGTCCTGCATGATGCATGGTGTGGGCTAGGCTTCATAGTGCAGGTGAAGTGCTCCACAGAAATGGGATGAACAGAGCGGGCAGGTTGGCACATACCAAATTGAGTGTTCTTGACACTCTGGCATTGTGTTTGGGAACGGGATAGGTTTGGGGGGTGTTGGAGTTGCTTGCTGGTTTCTAGGTAGCTGGACCCACGTGCCACGCATTGCCCGCGGTGTGTCAGCCCACCGAGCTGCCTCAGTTTGCCTTCGATGTCCAGCCGAGGGCAGAGATTGCCCACCACATGAAGGCCCAGGTGTCGCGCAAGACGCGGAGCAACGCTCCAGACCTACCTGTCCCGCAGCCCGCGGGCCAGAGCTTCGGCAAGGCCATGGACGGGCCACTCGGAGGAGTTTTGCTTTTCGTTTGCCTGCTTGGAATGGGGTGCTCGCGGGCAAAAAAAAAACACCACCACCCCAAGTGGGTACTTTGTACGGCATGCCTTAAAGTGGACGACAGTTTGGGTGAATTTAGAAGGTAAAATTGAGGATGGCACTTTTATGGATCCGGTTGTATTTTGCTATGAAACAACCTTCACAATGGCAATTGGAACCCAGGATTGGTCAAACGGTTGATCAACAGGGGCCCCGGACAGCAACAGGGTTTGTTTTGGCTTCTTTGGGCTCAGTCTCCCCATTTTGGTTGCCTCTGTTGAGCCTCCCTTGTTGTCCAAGAAGGAGGCAGAGGCAGTGAAGCTCAGGCGGAGCAAGGGAGCCTGGAGGATGTTGACCACTGTGAAGGCCAAACTGGAGCCCCGCAAAAAATGAAACTGCATGGAGCCCCCTGTAAAACAACCAAACATGGCAAAATAACAGCTACAGGGTTGTGGGGTACTAGAAACCAGCTGAAGTCACTAATGTTAGCATGTTGGTTAATATGTTGTTAGCCGGGCATACCCTTAGCAACAAGTACCACACCCAAATGCCAACGCACTTGAGCCTCAAACATCAGCCAAAAATGAACAGGATCAAATGCACCAAGGGAATCAGTCAACATTTTTTGATAATATGGGTATGCTGTGTTTTGGAGGTATCTGAGGAGATACTGAAGCTGAAGGAAAACCGCCCGTTTTGTGAGTTGCCCGTGTAGCAACAGACCCATATGGAACGGGGAAAGAAATGAAAAACACAATGTTGGGAGTTCTGGGGAGCGAGGGTGGGTTGCAGGGCCACGACATGAGGTGACCTCTCCGAGTGGCAGATGCAGAAGTTCCAGGCAGGCTGGCAGAAGCACCGCGTCACACCCCCAGGTCCCAGCGAATGCCACAAGCACTGCATGGTGGGAGAGGGGGTGAAGCACCCACACCCGATATTTGCCTCATGAGGTCAGACCCGTTGTTCTTGAGGTAGCGCTTCTTTTTTGTTGGTGCCGTTTTGTTGGTGCCGTTGGTGGTGGCGCCGGCCTTTGTTTGCTGCTGCTGTAGTGGTGCGCAGCGACGGTAGTTGCGGTTGCACGACTGCCGGGATGGCGAACTGGCTGGCTGGCTGCTTGGGATCCCAGTCACAGGCCAGACGCTGCGGACCATGCGGCCCAGCCTCCCTCAAATGGATTTCACTGACCCCACCCCACGGCATGCTCTCTCGCTGGTTTGAGTGCCAGGCTCGAAGGCTCGACTTCCCATGCACCCGTCATGCGAGCTGAGAGCTAGGCCAAGCCTAGCTCACCTTGCCTTGTTCTTTTCATGAATCAGTGGATGGGCACCGACCAAGGGTACCGTTGGGGCATCTCGCAGAAGTGACTTTGAGTTTCTCTTCGGGATGTTGGCCACCTGCTTGACCTCAGGTTATTTCGCGCCATGCCAAGCACTTGGCATGGGTATTTTTTAGCAAAACCAAAGGCTGCCAAGCTGAGCCGCGGACTGGCCAGTTGGTTGTGAACCAAAGGGAAACCACTCAGTTTGGGGCTCTCACCCAGTTGATTCCGGACTTATGCGCGGACAGCGCTGGAAGAGTTTCGGGGGATTTCAGGGGTGCTGCGGGTTTGCCATCCACTGCCGGGGTTGACACCACACGTCAGACAGGAGGTAGCCTAAGACAGGCGAGTCCTGGGACGGGCCGCCAGCATCCTTGACAGCTGCCTTCATTTCCCATAGCTGACACTTCGACGTTGCGGCTCAAAGTGCAGAGAGGCGATGGGAAGTTCGCCGTAAGGGGCTCACCTATCTTTTTCACCTTTTGTCGTTCCATCCCTTGTGGCCAAGCTTCTAGCAACCTACAGGCTTGTGCGACACGGATGTTTTGGCAGCAAGAAGGATTCTGTGCCAGCCAAGCACGCGTACGGTTTGCCTTTGCAGAAGTGCTGACGACATCATGGCTACATGCTCCAGAGAGCCTATGCGGCATGTGCCCGAAAGCAACTCCCGGGCGTGATGATGATGGCCCAACACAACGTCCTGTTATTTGGAAGGTGCATCACGTGTTTGTTCCTCAAGACGTGCATTGCATATCGGATGCTTGCCTGTGGTTGGATTGTGTCGCGTACAGGGATGGTTGGTTGCGGAACCATTTCGGCCCCTACATTGAGTGGCAATTGTCCTGTCATCTCCAACGTTTGAGACTGGAAGCCGAGGTCATCTACCCCGGTCTTTGGGTGCCCCAAATCACGAAGAGCAAGTCGTTTATTTGATCTAAGGGGCTGTGGTTTCAATTCTTCAAACAATATGGGATCTTGTTTTAGTATGAGAGTTAGCAAGAAGTTTCGCAGGTTGACACATCGCGAAGCTGGAGAGCATAGCAACCTCCCCCCGGGGAAAACCGGATTCGTTTGGACATGCGTTCTGAGCTTGGTGAACTCTTGCAGTTGCGACATGCTGAGTTTCATTATAATATTTGCCCAAATTGATCTCGGCAGGGCTGTGTGATCGATGGGCCGATGGTGGTGAGCCGATGATCGCTGTTGACATTTCTGGGCCGAGTCGCCCCCCCTTTCGCCATTGGGGGTGCCCTAAGGTACGGCAAGCTGGCAAGGAACGCACCACGCAAGTGCAATAACTCAGTAACTCGAAGCAGGGTCGGCATGGCACTTCTGGGGGATGACATGTTTGGCTTTTGCCTCCGGGAGCCACCTGACATTCGCGGAATTCCCGGGTTTGGACAGGTTGGTCGGCAAGTGTTGGCATATGTTCCTGCATGTTGGCCTGAATCACAGAACATCAGCGATCTCAGGCATCTAACCTCTACAATAGATGGGACGTTGTGTTGTGGGGACTCATTACAAGGAAGGCTCGGGCAGACATGTCCCAAAACCAATCCCAATTGCTTGGACGGGCTTGGGAGTTCAGCGAGTTTGCGGGGGATCGAGCTGTTCTTGGAAGCATAGGGTTTTCTCGGGGCTCACCAGCCTTCTGTTCCAATCCAGCGGTACTTGCTGGCATTCGCGTTGCTGGAAGATTCTGCAGTACAAAGAACGCCAATCCAAGCCTAGGTAGTTGGCACATCTCAATCCATCCGTTGCAAGCCTTAAGCGCCCCTCAACTGGCACCTCAGTTCAAATTCAGCAACCAATCTATGATTTGCAATGATTCGCGTGGTGGACAGGGATGTGTATCTAAAGGCATCCATATCGTTTTGCCCAAGCCGTGCATTGTCCATTCGCGTTCGGGTTGAGATTGTGTTCGGGGCTGGGTAGGCAAGTATGAAGCGCACTGACGCCTTCAATGAAAAAGCAGAGAGGAGTTGCCGTATCCCAACCATGATTGATAGGTCAGGATGTCAACAGGCATGCCGGTAGTCTCAAGTTTTCGTGTGTTCCTTCTGGCTTTTTATTTACCACGAGACGCACGGGAGAGGCCAAGGCTGAAAAGTCCGTGCGCGCTTGCCTGGCGGTTTCTGCCATGATACTCCCTTGCAGATTCAGTGGGTTTGGTTGCTTAAGACCAATTTGCTCGTTTTCTTAGTGAGTTTCAGATTGAGCTTATTCTGACTGCTTGTAAGACAGCCTTCCCAAGCAGTATCAGCTTGAATCAGAATGTCGCGGGCCCTTTCGTGTTGGAAAGGTCATCTTTCAGATTCGTGCCCTCTGGCCATCCGCACGCAACACGTGCCATGAATTCCGTGCACACTGTTTCAAAGCAGTAGCCCTGCATGAAAGTGCAGGCGGCAAATTTAGCAGGACGAAGCAGGGGGAGGAGTGGTGACATGCCAAGTCTCAAGCAAATGCAAGGCTTGGGGCAGTTTGATGGCTTATGTGAAATCTAGTTTTCGTGCAAAGATGCTTTTTAAATTGCTGTCTGAGTAGTTTTCCAGTAAGTATTGTTTGGAATTGGTTTAGTATTGGTTTAGTATTCATTTGAGCTGGCTCACTACGGTTTAGAATTGGTTTAGTATTAGTTCAGTATTCTTTTCAGTTGACTCACTACAGTTTAGAATTGGTTTAGTATTGGTTTAGTATTGGTTCTTCTTCTTGGCAGGCTGCCCTGGCCATTTTTTTTCACAATTCCCTACCCTTAAACAAACTGCATTATTGCCTTCCTAGGGGTTCCGTGTGCCACCCCCTTGAAAATTTGTCAGGGTGCATCTTCTAGTAAAGGGATTGATAAGGAACTTGGTGGTTTGGGACAGGAAGCAATCCAGAAATTCTGGACATTTCTGGCTTTATCTGCGAACAGCAGGGCTTTCTTCTTGGCAGGCTGCCCTGGCCATTTTTTTCTTCACAATTCCCTACCCTTAAACAACTGCATTGTTGCCTTCCTGGGGAAATTTGTCAGGGTGCATCTTCTAGTAAAGGGATTGATAAGGAATTTGGTGGTTTGGGACAGGAAGCAATCCAGAAATTCTGGACATTTCTGGCTGGACTCAAACGTTTCAACCCTCAAAAATAGTCCATTCTTGGAAGGGGACATATTTTCGGGATTTTTGCTTTTCAGGAGAGTGAATAATTTTGAGTTTTTTTTCTGTATTCACTCCCGTTTTATTAATCGCTATCTAACATTATGCTTGAGGCCTCCATCCTCCAAAAGCGGCTCACTGAAACGTTTACTCCGCCCAAGCCAACCATGCATACCCAAATGGACTCGAAAGGGCACTACTACTACGGGGGAGTTGAGTCCGGCAAGAACAGGGTGGGTCATTGGGCATGCAGCAACTTGACCAGAGAAGGGTCATTTAACCCAATTCAAGGATGTCGATAGATCCTATGCCGCCACATTCCCAGCGCTCCAACCCTAGACGTGGCCCACCTCGTTTGGCCTAGTTGTGGCCATGAGCCATGGCCCTCCAATCTCGTTAGCCCAACAGGTACCCAAAGTATCCCTCCGATGGGTGGCAGCTACGAAACTCGGAAGCCAACCCCCAGCAACGGGCAGAGACTTTTTGGGGGGAAACAGCCCAAGCGAATCTGCCAGGCACTGCCCCCAGTTTGGGAAGGCTCACCCTCCCCTCCTCCCCCCCCGGGCGTGAGCGTAGTTCATGCCCAATGTGTCGCGGAGGTGTTCTCTGGAAGGGCAAAAGGTAGTGCCCGAATTGGCGCCAGTTTTCCGAATTATCCCAAGCATCTCCCCGACTTCCGCCAGGCTACGGCTGCGCCTCCGCAAGAAGCAGGAGCTTCAGCTGTTCGAGGCCATGGCACAGCTGCAGAAGAAGGCGAATGCGAATTCGGCGAATGGGGCAGGAACCGGGCTGTGGGATCACTCGAGGTTTGTCCGCGCTGTGATACTCTGGGGAATCCGCTCTCTTTAAAAGGGGGGTTGGTCTTTAGGCCCTTTTTGTTGTATCACAGAAGTGGATTCCATTTCCCACGGCCCTGGAAGGAACCACTTGGAGGCTTTCGACACAAAGACAAACACTGACACAAAGAAGCAAAACACAAAACAAGCAAAAAGAAAAAGCGCAAAGCAAGCACAACAGCACACCCCTCAGACATTTATTTATCCTTTCCCTTGAGGACGGTTTAAGCATCATATGCCATTCAGAGTGTTGTCTTCGGGGTTTGTGGGGGGCGGTCAACATGGCGCACTGGAAAGCGAAAGACCACCCTTTGCACACCAAAAACCCGGAGGGACAACTGCTTTGCTTGTGTTTTCCATTTGGCTTCCCAATAAGCATCTTCCCCAAAATTGTGCAGTACCCTCAGAGAGGCACACCAGCTTGCTTGTGCTTCGAGAATCCCACCGGACCAGGCAGACTCGACCCGACTTGACCCACAGGGGCTTTCCCCCCATAGACAAAGCTTGAGGGAGTGAGTTCCACTAAGAAGGCTTCCAGCACTTGCCCCAAGTGAGCAAGTGAGGGACGACCCCAAACTGAGCCATCACTGAAAGTGTCCCTTAAGGGCGTCCCTTTCATTCATAAGAACCATCAAGTCGGGGCACCCAGCGTCCGGTTGGCCCATCAGGCTCCTATCGGATGGGAAGGGGCATCCCTGACATTGGGGGGCAATTACCCTGAAATTTGTGTGTCTACTTCTGTCGCGGGGCAATTCTTACTAGAATTGGAGCCCCGCAAACCACACTACCCTGAGGAGGAAGGCTCCGGGGCGGGAGAAACACAGCAAGTGGGATGCTTGGCTTAGGCTTCCGGGCTCTACAGGCTGGCAATTGTTCAGTTGTTGTCCTGTGTTGGAAACTTATGCATGCTTCATCTTCCATGTTGCATGCCCCAGTTGCTTGATGTCAACACTTTACGAGGGATTCCATAAATCAGCCAAGTACCACAGCTTGCTAAACAAACACGGTTTCAGGCTGAGGGATTTGCGTTGCAGCCTGCGCTAAAGCCTCGAAGCAGGCACCTGAGGAAAGCTAAATACGAGGCTTGCAAGGGGTACCTATGAATGGCTGAATTGAATGGCAGGCAAAACCTACATGAAGGGCTCTCAAGTTCCAGGGGCATGATGTTCACCTCATCTGGAAGGCTACAACTGGAGGAACCTGCCAACATGATTCCCACATGGAGCGGATAAGCCCAGATCTGGCCCCGCAGCTTTCCAGCGCAACCCCGCAACTCCAGATCCCAAGTGCACTATTTCCCCTCATGGACTTCCAACTACCCGGAAAGTTCTCATATTCCGCTGGTCTCACTCCACCCCAGGGGCTTTCTCCCCAACCAGCCCCAGTCGCCCCAGTCGCCCCCTCCCCCTCCTCCCCCCCCAACCAGCCCCCCCTCCCCCCCCAACCAGCCCACCCCCCTGGCAGCAGCCTTGGGGCTGTCTGCCCCCCCCCCCCCCCACTCCTCCGGCGCAAGCGCCAGGCGCAGCGCCGCGCAGAGGCCATGAGCGCCTGGGGCCGCTGGACGCGGCGACGGGCCCAGCGCCGGAGGCTGCTGCGAGGCGGATCTGCGAGTAGACGAAGAGATCGATCTATGGATCTGTATATGGGCCATATGAGGCTTTCCGTAAATAGCTGTATTCGTTTTTTAGTGGCTAGTGGCGGTGGTTATGTTGGTAAGTAAGTGAAACGCAGGCCGCGGAAGCTCCGCGGAAGCGGCGCGGAAGCTGCGACCTGTTATGTTCTTTCAAACTATTGGCTTGCCTTTAAACATGTTACACGCTTGTACCGAAAAGTTATGATTCTCAAGCTGGATCTCGGAAAGTGCACCTCGCGTACTACATCTGTGTATGAAAGTTCCAGAGCAACGAGCTGGAGCTGAGAAAGTGGCCTTCGCGTACTACATTTGTACTAAATTTGCGATTCTCGAGCCGGAGCTCGGAAAGTGCCCGACGCGTACACAGAGGAAAAAACGATACCCCCAGAAGCCATCAAGACACACATCAGGTCGGCCATCAGGTCCAAGCTGTTGTCGCAAACCAAGGTTGCGGAATCATACATTTGCAGGGCCCAAACCGACACCCAAACCGATGCCCAACCGATACCCGACTCATTAGCTGCTGTACAAATCAAACTGACCATGCCTGGACAAGAAAACGGTTTGGCTTAAACGATGCCCCGAACGATGCCCAAACAATGCCTATATCGCTTCGCTGGCATAGCCCGCAAACTGGAACCAAGAGCCTGTCCCGGAATGTTCTCGAGATCTTCTAAGGAGATGCCTAGGTCTGGATCTGCTGAATAACCAATCGCAATTTCACAGCTGACCAGAGCAGATGAAGAGCATTCGCAGCTATGGATGCTGCAGAAGGTACGCTTTGCGCCGCGGAAGCGGCGCGGAAGCGGAGGGATCGCCGCTTTTTTTCCTCAGTGTTTTACGGAAACCCTCATATGATGCACCCGCATTTTTACACATGCATGCTACCTCTCTCTCTCTCTCTCTCTCTCTCTCTCTCTCTCGCTCTCTCTTTCTTTCTCTCTATGTACAAATATGGGGACATATGCATTTTATTATTATCAATCTTATTGCTATTGTTGTTGTTATTTTCATTGTTCTGTTTCTTCCTTCAATTGCTATTATCATTATGATGTGTTTGTATACATTATGTATTTATTGGGGGGGGACCACCTCACAAGTGGTTGGTGTAAAACATGAATCCCCTAAATGGGGGGGGGCAACCTCACAAGTGGTTGGTGTAAAACACGAATCCCCTAAATGATGTCCAAGGAGTTTCCATTGAAATTCGAACCCATATGAACATGGCTTCTATTTGGTTTGATCTGTTTGGGTCGCCGGGGTAGGGTGATGGGCATGGGGAAACTCGCTCAATCTCAAGGGGCTCACCCAACATGAGAATCCTGTACTCCATGTTAACCTGCAGAGGTGCATCAGTGCCCCCACAAGTGCCATGGTCAAAAACAACACATGTCTATGAATTTCCTTGGGCACGCGCCTAGTTGGACATAAATCCAGAATGTAAAGGGCTCCCAATTAACAATCGCGCGCATATGTGCCGCGGTACACACCCTGGCACTCCTAGGCCTCTGAACAGAGTGCAAAGTAGTTTTGGCTAGGTTAAACTTTAGCCACCTCCATCACCCAAGGGTTCCCTGCTCAGGAACCTGAAACGGTTTGGCGAGCGGCCCCTGGCATGAGCCCCCATGGGGCGAATAGCCAGTCATGGACGCCATGGCCATGCGGTCATACACTGGTCCATCAGGCATTGAAGTTTACCCATTGGCAACTGTCAAGCCGACCATGGGTTGGCCTATGTGTTGCGCAGCTTCCAAAAGAGAAATCTTATTTCCAGGTGTTTGGGCAAATCAGCATCGGCGAGTGCCATGTGTTACACAAACATACATACACACATATGTGGGCTTGTCTCAGTATGAACCCATGGAAAAGTTGCTTGCCTCTTGGTTTCCATTCAAAACAAGTCCCAAAGGGTGCCCTAAACAAGTGACATGCCCCAATGGCCCAACGCATATGAAAGGAAGGCTCTTTGCACTCGCGCGTTTGTAGCCTGGGCTGACCAGCAAGAGGAGCCCTGAAAGGAAGCACCCAACAACCACGGGGTTGCACTTTTTGTCCTGCATGTGCTCGGCAATTGAACCCAACAAACACCTGACTTATACAGGGAATGTTCAAAATAGTCTTCTCCATCTCATGCCCGGAGGTGGTGGTTACTGACTTGTTAGCAGCCTTGTGTCTTGTATGGGGCTTAAAGTGTTGGCATGTCTGGAAACTGGCTGGAAAACAGCGAGCGTGTTCGGCTCTCGGCGCTGCGACCACTTGGATCGCATAAATCTGGACACAGTGTTGGTTTTGAGGTGGGGCCAAGGTACGTTGACTGTCAATGTAATGTCTCGAGGAACGGTTTGGATTCTGGCAAACAATAGCTTGCCATGCGGCGAGTTGCTGCTGTGCTCGCCCGGATTTCTTTGTAGGGCAGCTGAAGGCTTTTTTCCTTTAGGCGTGAGGCCTTGAGTGCGCGTGATGAACAGTGATCTGTTTGAAGCCACGCATATCCAGTTTTCTCAAAAGACGCCAAAGCAGGCATGATTGTTTTCTCCTGAGCTTTTTGATGGGTTGCACCTTGCTTTGGGTGTGCAATAGCACGAGCTTGCATCACGCCCTTCTCAGGGCCCTTGTTTTGGGCAGCCTATTTTCGGTTGGCAAAATATTTGAATAACCTGGATAGCTTATCACCGGGAACGGCCAAAGGTTCAGAGTTTCGTGTGGAACTTTTGCCCTGCACTTGCGCTGCCACAGGCCACTTGCAGAACTGCCTCCGGCCGCGGCTGCTGCGCAGAGTGCAATCGGCCTGGGCGCTTCACACACGCCAGCAGCAGAGGCGGACTTGACACCGACGGGATGTCCAGGGCGAGTTGTGGCGATCTCAAAGGTCTTTTGGTTTACCACCGCCCATGCAGGATCTTTTGGTAGGGACTCCTGAATTGAGGTTGCTGAGCTTTTGCAATCAGTGCAGATCTGTGGAAATTAACCCTTGTTATGTGGCCTGCTGAACGACCCCGAAGTTGTGAATCAAGATGGTCCCTCTGGAAGACAGGAAGCCCACTAAACGGGGAGCCACCTGAGACTATCTGAGGGGGAATGGTTCGGCTTGCGCCACAGGTTGTTTGCAAGGTCCGGTTCGCATGGCTGCTGGTTGTCCAAGAGATTGCTTTGGCCATGTGGCGGTGGGTCAAAACCAATGGGATCCCATTTTGGGGTAGGTGCGCCGGTGCGCCACCCATTTCAGAACCTATTTTAGTGGGGATTGGGATGTTCACTGGGGGTACGGGATTTTGACCCATGGACATGTGTGAACAATATCCGCAGTTGGTCAGAGTTCCGCGGATATCAGTTGTTTCATGCACATTGCAACGAGTGGCAGTTCTTTATAAGCCATGTTGGCTCCCTAGACGGAAGCCCAGCTGCTCGCACAGTTCTTTGTTCCTCTCCTTCTTTCCCTCCTGTCTGTCTTTCTTTTCTTCCTTGCTGTCTTTCTTTCTTTGCATCTGTCTTTCTGTCTTGTTTTCTGTTTTTATTATTTTCGTCTTTGCTTTTTTGCTTCCTTCCTGCCTTCCTTGCATTCTTTCTCTTTTTCTTACTTCCTTTTTTCTTTTTGAAACCGGCGAGATATTGGTGAGGTCACCGTTTGCTTGCTCTGCTCAATTTGACCAAGCTGGTGGTGACCCAAGCCCTCCAAACGAGGGAGAGCCCTTTCCCCCAACACACCTTGAGGCTCAAGGCCTTACTCAGGGGATACTTGGTCGGGGGTGGGGCTTGGCCTGAATGGCGAGGTGCGCGCGTTGGCACCCCGAATCGGAGCGAGAGCCATTGAGACATCCCAAGACCTCAGTCTGGACTCAAGGGTCCGAGTCCCAATACTCCATATTTGCGGTTGTGGCTTGGGATTTTGCACAAATGTCCAAACCGCAGATATATAACGTACGTGGACCGACTTGAACCCTCCTGGTGGACCGCTCAAGGGCGAACTGCTTAGGGTGAATTGCTCATGGTGTACCGACACCACCTGGACCTGTGTTTTGCGAAATACTTTAGTGGATTGGCATTGATATATTTTTATTGCAAAAGATGGGAATGCATCATGTCCGCCAGACCCTGGCGTTTATCCGATGATTTCAGGGCCCCTATCCAAACCGGTGAGGTCTTCCGTTTGCAGTTCGCGTGCCACAGGATGCATTGCTTAGCTGCCTCCACCCTGTTTTGCCAAAATTACGGTTCACTTGTTTGGGCCGAAAAGGGTGTGGCAATCAGAACCGGAACGTTGGTGCAGCTTCAGCTTTGTGGGCAATGGGTGACGGGTTGAACGTTTGGAGTCACAGTAGGCACGACTTCAAATGGGCACATGTCAAAAGCCACCGTCACCTTGTTCTCTATGGCAAAGCCGATGTGAAGCCATCCTGGCATCTCGATTCTGCACGCCGGTTCCGCCAGGAACCAGGCCACACTGCAAAAGGCAAAGGTCATCCTGGACCTGTGCCTCGATACAGATTTCAGATCTCGCTTGTGGGGTTGCGCGAGATCTGACGGGGCGCGCATGATGAGCTCTCAGCACCCGCTCACTGTGCTCTCCGATTTCTGACATGTGACGGTTCCCATCAGAAAGCAGCCCGCCCGAAGGAGGGCGCATCCCGGAGTTTCTACAAAGTTGTTGCCTCTCTGGTTGGTATTTGAAGGGAAACCGGCAGAACCCCCTTGCCATTTTGGGGGGACCCCTGTTCCATTACGAGGGCACGGGCTTTCAAAGCCCAAACGCCTGTAGCATAAAACCTTGCAGCAAGGTTTGAAGAAGGAACCGTGGGCAATGGCCCAGGTTGTGCCCGCCTTTTGATGTCTATATCCCCCCCGCCAATCCTGGTAACCCGCTTAGGGGGACTCCAGAGAGTAAATGGGATAGCATGTAGAATCTTGGTTTTCTAGGAACTTGCTACGCAGGCATTCAGTTTTTTGTTGAGCGCCCCATGGCCCATTGAGCGCCGAGGTCCCTCAAGAGCCGCAGCTTCCGTGGCTGGCTGGGCTGGAAGCAGTGTGCGACCCAAGGCGTGCATCAGCTTAGAGGCCGGTGGGCCAGAGGCTTCCAGAAGACATTGTATAACCAATATGGGCACGCTATGCATGATATACCTGCATATGTAAAGAGAGAGAGAGAGATGTACATACGTACATACATACATACATGTATACGTGCACACATGCACACATGCATGCATACATACATGCATGCATACATCAAATTCACACATGACATACATACATGATATACGTGAATATTTACATACATGTGTACATACATTGTACATGCATATGTATGTATATATACACATATATGCATATATACACATGTGTGTCTCTCGCTTTCTCCATGTACGCATGCATCCGTACATACAAGTATCTCTGTATAGATGCAGATATGAATTTATTTGCATCTATACACATCGGAATGTGCACTTACATTGGGGTGCGTATCCCTACATAAATAGATATTCTTTGCTTGCGCATGTGCATATATTCATGTATATATGTAAATCTAGATTTTCTGTTCAGGTGCGTGCGCATGCGTGCTTTCCAAGCAATCAACACATATCGACGCTAGGGCGCTTGGCCGAAGTTGGTTTCACAACAAACCTACTTCAATCCAAATGCAAACTCAAACCAAACCTAAACTATACCTAAACCAAACCTAAACCAAAGCCAAACCTGAATCAAACCAACCCACACCTAAGGCAAGCCCAAACCAAATCTGAACCAGACCTACAGCAAACCTACACCACACCTAAAAATAAGCCCAAACCAATCCTTGACCGACCAACACCAAACCTAAGCCAAGCCTAAACCAAACCTAAACCACACCAAAAACAAACCTAAACCAAGCCGAAACCAAAGCCAAACCTAAGTTAACCTAAGCCACACCTGCAGCAAACACAAAGCAAACCCAGACAACACCTGAACGAAACAGAAACCACACCTAAAGAAAGCCCAAACCAAACCTGAACCATACCTAACCCAAACCTAAACCAAAGCCAAACGAAACCTCAAACCACACCAAACCAACACCTAAAGCAAGCCCAAACCAAATCTGAACCAGACCTACAGCAAGCCTCAACCACACCTAAAATAAACCCAAACTAATCCTTGACCAATCAAACCAAGCCTAAACCAAGCATAAACCAAGCCCAAAGCAAACCTAAACCACACCAAACCCAAGAAGCCGAAACCACACCTACAGCAAACCTAAAAAGCAAACCCTGCCTGAACCAAACCGAAACCACACCTAAACCGAACCCAAGCCCAAACCCAAGCCAAGCTCACCCCCGCGGGTTTTTGGAGGTGTGGCCAGAGGCCTCGACCAAGACTTGTTGGCGTCGCAGCTGCTGGCCTGGCAGAAAGCCGCCAGGAGGCGCGGCCAGGAGCCCGGCCGTTGGTTCGGGGACCGATGGCTCAGCGGGGAGTGGTGGTCTAAGGCGTACTTGTAGGGTATTTGTGGACAAAAAGTGCGGCGTTGTCTTGTGAGGGGTCAGGCTGCAAAAGCAGCAACAGCTGTTGTAGGTATGTGTTTGCGGCAAGGCTGGCTGGTTGACTACTGGGACGGGCAAATGGTCAGGGGCTATCCGTTTTACCACAAAACGGCGAGGAAACGAGCAAAGTGGAGGAGACGCACTACTGAGATAAATCATAGTGTTAAAGGATTCTTTGTTTTAAACTAGCCATTCATGCTGGTGCATGACGATGCATGGCGCAAAATCTGAGGTTCGATTTTCCTTTCAGGAGCGGCGAGCGCTGGAGACGCTGAGCAGCGGTGCTGAAAGGCTGCTGCAGAAAGGCGGGCGGTGCGTGCGTGTCCAACAGGTATATAAATATGTCTCTGTCAAAGAAGGGAGTTGGACCCCCAAATTGGGTGTTTTCCTTTTGGTTTTCCTGGCGGTTGAAATGAAGCGGGTTCCCTCACAAATGCACAGCCATGTGTTTGTGTGTGGGTAGGTGGGTGTTTTGAGGATACCCTTTTGAACTTGGCACAAAGGGAAGCAGAACAACAACACCATGTGTGGGTTCCCGAAAACGGGTGGTCTCCCTTTAGTTTTCCTAGGGCACCCTCAACAAGACATTCCAACCAGGGCTGGCCAATGCAACTTGGGTCGTACATGGTTTTGGTTTGCCTAGAGGTTAGTGTTTTTTTTCCACACCGCTGGGGAGTTGTCCGTCTCCACGCAGCTGGTAGGGCAGGGGGGTTCTACACGTTTTTTGTTTTTTTTGGTGTGGCAGATGCATGTCCATCCACAAGCTACTCTTAAAGGAGCCAAGGCCATCGACTGGGCCTGGCAAGAGCAAACACTTTATCAATGGCGTTGGAGAAGATATTAAGACAAACTTGCTGGCGCATGGAAGAAGTGAACGCATCCTTGCAACCAATAGTTGTTCGCAGCTGCCACAACCCTTTCAGGCAGACTCTTGCAAGGATGAACACAAAGTGGCTGTTTCCGCCTCAACGCCTGGTGGGTTGACCTCGGCTTGACGTTGGGACTGCGCTATCCAAATCACATATTCCCCCGGGGGGGGGGAGGTATGATATTAATTCCGTGTGGCAAGCGCTCGTGTTGCAGGGACATTTGCCAGGTGAGGCCCTGCGCTTAAACCACTCCAACACCCTCCAACAGTGTAACAGCTGAAGCATGACGCCTTGGAGTCTCCTGATTCATCCTGAATCGATTCCCGGAACAGTATTCATCAATAGTGTACGATGAATTTGGTCACCCGCGGGTGTATCTGCTTTCCGTTGGCCAAATTTGCCAGTTTCTTCCAGTGTTTATCGTGCAAGCTTTAAAGAGAAAGGAACCACTGGACCAGGGCTGGAGTGGATCAGGAACCGCTTGGTAAAGTATTGGTGTAGAATCGGCGAAATGCTGAAAGCATGTGTGTGGCCAAAGGCAGAGCTGTTGGGACTGCATGCAACGAAGGCGCGACGGCCGAACTTGTAGTGAGCTGGCCTGGCCCATCCGGCAAAATCAGAGTCAGCCCACCCATGAGCCTAGGCGTCCTTTGGAGAAATGGATGGCAGTAGCAAATAGTTAAAACCAAACTGAGACAAGTTTGGTTCCATCTGTTTTCTCTGACCCGAAATGACACATGGGCCGCTTGTCCCGGCTGAACTCAAGCCCCAACTTTTTGGGAGAGGTCAGCCCCTCACTCCCTGAGTTCGTGGAATTTAAAGCTCAGAGTTGTTTGGCCAGTCCACTCAGGGTCGGCCCTCACCCCCTTTGACGGAAGGAAGCCCTCACGCGGAAGGTAGCGCCACGCCTCGCAGGCGCCTTGGCGCGGCTGGGCGGCTTCGCCGCTCTGCAGAGGCGCTGGGCGGAGGCCTCGCAGGAGCTGGCGCGGCGCGGCGGCAGGTGCCTTGGATGCGGCGGGAAGCCTTGGACGTGGCGGGGTGGGGGGGGAACTCAAAACTGGGCAGTGGGACTGTAGGGGATCCCAAGGAGGGTTGGGGTGATGTTTGGAGATCTGCAGGTTTAGCCCCAGTGTGTTTATTTGCATGAAGACGCAGGGAATTGGGGGGTGAGGGACCTGTTTCGGTCCGCGAAGGGCAACCAACAGAGATTATTTGAGCTATATGGTTCAAACATGTTCAAGCAATCTCGGGTGAACCGATCATAAATATCGAAATATGGCACACCCCTGGGCTTCGTCTATTTTGGGGTAGTCAAAACAAATGCTGCCGAGATGCCTGGGCCTTCGCGCACTTTGCTTCTGGCGCCTTGCGGCCACGCAAAGGCGCCAAGGAAGGCAGACTCTGGGAGGCGCGGACTCGAACGAGCAGCAACATTCCGCAGGGGATGAGTGCTTGAAAAAGCAAAATACATAGAAGCCAGGGTGGATATCCAGCTTTCGGAGGATTTACATGGTTTTGGGTCTAACCATTTGGGCACGGGGCGTTGCTAGCTGATAGTGAAGATCCTTTACTTGGGGGAATTGCCAGGTTTTCAGTTTGTGGGTTTCATCACAATTTCAGCAAGGGGCTAATTGCATACCTCGGTGTAAGGGCTGTGGCCGCTCCGTGGATTCCCTCTATAGGGATGAAGGAAGATTGGCCAACCCTCACTTCGAACAGCGCATTCGACTTTCGACTTCTTGCGAATAGAGGCGTCTTGCGGTCGGTGCCCTTTCGATTTAGCCGGTGTCAAGAGTTCCCTGAGCTCTACTTCGCACCAGTTAGGTGGTTTGTCCCATGCGGTTTCACCCAGGTGCAGGATCATGGGCCAACATGTCACTTTTAGTTGGGGGCAAGAGCTGAGTGTCCTCGAGCATGGGGTGATGCCAAAGTCCGGTTATTCAGTGGGCACCCTTTTGCCTTGTGTTAGTGGGATCCCCAGTGAAGCCGCCCAATCTCAAAAAACGGAGCGGATCCAACTCTTCTATATCTGCCTTTAGGGTCACTGGCTTCGACTGGCCAACGAGGCTTGGTTCGGGAAATGGCAGATAAAGTGACCCCGAAAAAGGATCATCCCCAAAGTGAACCCCCCCTTCTCCCAGAAAAAAAGGGGATCCCACGTCATGAAGCCCCAGACCACCAATCCGATGGAGGCCTGCAGGGGCGCCTGGACACCGAGCTGGGCCTTCGGAGTATCACCGCCTGGCGTTTGGCCGCGCAGCGGCAGGTGGAGGCGCGGGCGGAACGCGAAGTGCCGTTGCCAGGGCGGCTGGGGGTGGGCCATATGGCTTCAGGTTGCGATGCCTTTTTTTTTGGGGGGGGGATGTAGGTAGAACATGCTTGTGTTCACTGTTAACTTCCGTCTTGACATGTTTGGGAATCCCCAGCCAAGAGGCAAAGTGGGAATTTCCACATGGGCAGGCAGGTGCAACAAAAGCTGGCTAGGTGAAGGCCAACGGGAAACAAGGATTAGTGAACCTCTGCTCGATCTTTTCGGATCGGAGGATTTTCTTGGGCAGTCCGTCCCATTTCGGGAATCCGGATCATTTGTCGGGAAAATGGCTTTGGTACATTGCCAGGCTTAGCACACCTTTTAAAGTACGTTTGCCGTTTACCCAGCAAGCGATTTCTTTAAAGTCTGGAGAGGGCTATTGGCGTTGTGCTGACTACCCCGCGAACCCAGGGTAGTTGAGCTCCCAAGTCTAGATGTTGTTTGGTCCGTTAGGTTCAACAGAAACGGATTCCACCGGTTTCAGTTTGATTCCAGCCCTCCAGTGCACTCATTTTTTCTGCAAGCACACCTTGGCCCCAAGGCTGGGAAGATGAAGGCAGGGAGGTCTAAACCGGAAGCTCGGTGCGGCAAGATGCCCCGTTGATTCCTTGCGTGGTTTTTGGTGGGACGCTGTCAATCCCAGGCCTTGATTGTGGCTCAGATGGGCCTAAACCTTTTTCCAAGGACTTCCCTTGAGGAGCTTCCGCCATGGGGCATTTGCTTGACTTCCATACGCTTTAGGTTTGGTACTTTTCCTTCGGATTTGAGAAGGCGGTCCTGGCTCGAATTCCCAGCACCCGCAAATGGAAACAGAAGGAACCAACGAAGGCCTGGCAAGGAAATGCCTATGACCCGCCGAGGTGTCCACTGTGTAGTGGGCTGCAGCGCCGGAAAGCGATCAATGTCCCTCTTCCTTGACGCCAATCAGCAGGGTACAGTACTTGGGAGGAAGCCACATTTCTTCATTCTCATGTTGCTCTCAGTCGCTCGTCTTTCACGTCATGTTCACTCGGCTTTCCGCATTCGCCAGGAGGCAAAGGCCATTGACACGCTGGCGAGGGGCCTGGGACGTCTGCGAAGCGCAGGCAGGATGCAACCGGTGCAACCGGTGGCTGGCTCCCTGGTCTTTGCTCGTGTGGAAGGTGGGTTGAGTTCGCTATTGCTGAGTGTTTTTCAACCGCAAGTGTCCGTGTGGGTCCTTAGGGTTGTGCCCCTGAACAGCTTCTTAGCTGCCAGAAAGCCACGGTTTCGTGTCCCATGGTTTTGGTCAAGGCACCGCCGCGAAGGCAGAGCACCTTGGCCCATACCGCGTGGTGCATGCACATTCCCTGTACAAAGCGTCTCCCCACTTCTCCGAGAAGTTCGACGATCTTCTCAGATCGAATCAAATAGAGTAGACTATTTTCTCACAGGTGTAGTTCCTAGAAGCTCAGAAGTCTTCGCGTGAATCGGTGTTACGTTCTTCCCCTTGTTGCACTGTGCGTCCGGCATAGGCCAGTTTTGTGTTGGCTCCCCGCGCTGGTAGGCATCCAGAGCATGAGTTACCAAAGGCCGCTTCTTTCATAGTTTGCTTGGGTCTTTCATTTTTCTCAGAACGCGATTTTTGATCTCTGCTTACTCGCTATTCTGGTGCTCGGGCTCTTCAAGCGGGGCCCAAGTCGTTCCTTCGCTTGTCACAGGCAACTCCCCTCTTGACACCTCATCTATTGCCTCAGCGGAGGAGTTGGGAATGGGCTTCCTGTTCTCAAATTGAGCCTTCAGCCTCATGAATATGGACAATTAGGTTTTGGCCACGTATCTTCGGCGGAGTAGTTACCCTCAACAAGAAAGCACCCGCACTAGCCTCAGGGAATCGCCTTGGAAATGATCCGCTTGGGATTCACTCAGGAGTGGTTCATAAACAACATTCACGCATTCCGTGCTTAGCTACTTTGGCACATTCAAAGCAGCAGCAGGGTACAGCTCGGGACTAGAAGGACATTGGGCAACACGGACGCAGTGCATAGGGCGCCGTGCAGGGGGACGGAATCCAACGATTTTGAACTATAGTTAATGTTCGCTGTCATTGCCACACTAGAAAACAGGAAGCAAGATTAGGTACAGGGACATGCTCCCTCACCGCCTTGAGGCGCCCTGGAGCGCTTGAAGTCGCAGGCCGCCTTTGCACAGCACCTGGCGCGGGTGGAGATCAAAGGACGCCGGGCGGCGGACGGGTACGCGCGCAGGCGCGGCGAGTGGGGCCCACGCGGATGGTGCGCCAGCGGACGGTGGGGGGGGGTGGGGGGATGGGGAATGCGGAATGGCGGGCCACTTTGGTGGTTCCAAACCCAAGCCTGTTTGTGCCCCAAAATGCAGGTTGGGAGTCAAAAAGGACAGGATCTCGAAGCAAAATAGAGAGTAAAGGTGTTTAAAGACTGAGTCACTGGCCAAGACTCGAGACGTACAGTTTTGGAAGAAAGGGTGGGGCGGCTGGGTCTCTAATCAGAGTGGAGCAGACACGTTTCATCCACTTCCAAGTCAACATCGGCAGGTCAAAAGAAGAACCTCCCCTAGGGACAGGCCAAGCTCGTTGAAAGTATTGTCTGCAAACAACAAACTGGACTAACAGCATGTATCAGCAACCATGGATGGCCGTCACAGTGTGTCTCTTTTTTGTTAAAGGGGAGAGAATAGACCTTGCTTTACGCAGCAGTCATTATGCGCACACATGAGTCACAATCAAAACCCGAGAAAGTGAAGGTTAGTAGGGGACAATTCCAACCAATAAATAGCTGCGGCGGCCTTCTTAATTATTTACATGGCTCTGGGTCGACCATTTTAATACCGGGTTTTGATTATGACTCCCATGCACATGATTCAGCATGATGCGTGTGTGAACTACACTTGCAAAGTGATTGCCGCTGAATGTGCAGTTTGCAGCATCGTGCAACCTTGCATGTGTATGCAATGATGCTCGTTTCGCACGAGTAGTGAATTGGAGCCGTCCACTTCCTATTCCAGGCAAAGTGTGAAGGGAGCTTTCTTAGCCCGCCTTTGTGCGTGTGTAGAGTAGCGCCATTCTCTCCACATCTCGCTGCGGTGCTTCAACTTCAAAACATCGGCGCTCTAAATTATTGGTGCCGTTCACCCATTTAGCTCCCTAATGTGAGAATCTTGTTTCACGCCCTCCAAGGTTCCATGATAGGGTGGGGGGTATTCTAAGTCATCCTAGCAGTCCTTGACGCTGAGAGGTTGCTTTCACCCACCACAGATGCAAGATTCCACCAGATCCATCCAGGTTGGCCGCAGAAAAACCAGGGGACCCCCCACGAAGAATTCTTCGTTTCCCGCTGCTTTGCCTCCACAATTCTAGGTTTCCCAGTGCTTTCCCTTAAATCGACCCCTCCAAACGACGCGGCGTCCCCGTGCCGCCGACCGCCGACGCGTGCCTCGGCCTCGGGTCCGCGCGCCATGGGCTCGCGGCATGCGGCTCCGCGTGCGCCTGGCGCGGCAGGAGGTGCCCCTGGACGCCTGCGGGGTGCCGCTTGGGACGCCGCACAGGCGGTGGAGGGGGCGCGTTGTGGGCGTGGCGCGTTCGTTCTTTGGGTCGCCTTGCTAAAGGGTTGGTGTAAAAGGACGCCAAAAACGACAACCGCCAGTTTTATATTTAATATTTGCAAAAACAGAAACAAGGTGATGAGTTGGGTGTATGGGCCCCTTTTTCACATGTCAAACGGTTTGGCAAGCACAGACCTTTTCATCTTGTTTGAACCTAGGGCCTTCTCACAAAACCTACCTTTGCTTTTTGGAGGGCTAGCGCTTCTCAAGATGCTCCACTTGTTTCAACGTCTTGACAGTTCAATGGAACCTCGTTGCACAGCATGCACTGTCATTTTCATGGGGCAGAACAGGATTGAAAGGTGACAGGAATGAGGGGCAGAGTTGTGGCTTTTGGGGAGTGAAGCTCATTTGCCGGTCAATCTCCGCAACACTAGAGGGGCAAAGATGCCATTCCCTGAACCCTGGCCTCACTCCCCGCACTCCTTATCCTGGACTTACGCGTTGGGCAGTCAATTTTCAATGAGTGGCGAACGTCCTCCATTTTTCTTGTCCGTGTTTTCAGGGTCTGCGAGTGGCACATTTATTGACCCCCAAATTACCGCGCGACCCGCGGATGTTTTTCTCGGGTCGCCAGGGCCGTGCGCGTGTGCTGCGGGGAGCTCCAGGGCTCCTTTTGGGCACTGCCGGAGTTGGACAACTCGGACCAGTTGGAGCTGCCACTTTGGGCGGCTGCTTTAGTGCAAGATGACCAGGAGCGAAAATGGGAAGGGGAGGGGGGGAGAGAACCGGGTCTTGGTTTACAGCGAGTGTATAACGAATTCATCAGATAGCATCCCTTGACTTCAGATTTCCCGCTCATTCCTGGTTGAAATCTGCGAATGTGTGCTAACTGTACCCAGAAGTTGGGTATTCTAAGAGATTCTTACTCGCTATTTGTTCATTGCCAGACTTAGCTTACCCGTTCGACGCTTTGCCTTTTTGGTTTTCCATTGGCACAGAGAGGGGTGAGATGGGGTGTTAGGTGTCATTGGCATGGAATGTTGGTTTACTTGAACTGGGCATGAGCGCGCCTCGAATCGTTTTGGTTTGCTTGGTTGTTTGTTTGCTTGCTTGCTTGCTTTCTTGCTTGTTTGTTTGTTTGTCTGTCTGTTTGTTTGTTTGTTTGTTTGTTTGCTTGTTTCATTGTTTCTTTGTTTGTTTGTTTGTTTGTTTGTTTGTTGGTTGGTTGGTTGGTTGGCTGGCTGGTTGGTTGGTTGGTTGGTGTGTGTGGCGTGCGTGCGTGCGTGCGTGCGTGCGTGCGTGCGTGCGTGCGTGCGTGCGTGCGTGCGTGCGTGCGTGCGTGCGTGCGCGCGCGTGCGCGTGCGTGCGTGCGTGCGCGTGCGTGCGTGCGTGCGTGCGTGCGTGCGTGCGTGCGTGCGTGCGTGGGTGCGTGGGTGCGTGTGCGTGGGTGCGTGGTGCGCGTGGTGTGCGTGGTGCGTGGGGTGTGTGGGTGCGTGGGTGCGGGTGCGTGGGTGCGTGGGTGCGTGGGTGTGGGTGGGTGGGTGGGTGGGTGGGTGGGTGGGTGGGTGGGTGGGTGGGTGGGTGGGTGGGTGGGTGGGTGGGTGGGTGGGTGGGTGGGTGGGTGGGTGGGTGGGTGGGTGGGTGGGTGGGTGGGTGGGTGGGTGGGTGGGTGGGTGGGTGGGTGGGTGGGTGGGTGGGTGGGTGGGTGGGTGGGTGGGTGGGTGGGTGGGTGGGTGGGTGGGTGGGTGGGTGGGTGGGTGGGTGGGTGGGTGGGTGGGTGGGTGGGTGGGTGTGTGTCTGTGTGTCTGTGTTTGTCTGTGTGTTTGTGTTTGTCTGTGTGTCTGTGTTTGTCTGTGTGTCTGTGTTTGTCTGTGTGTCTGTGTTTGTCTGTGTGTCTGTGTTTGTCTGTGTGTCTGTGTTTGTCTGTGTGTCTGTGTTTGTCTGTGTGTCTGTGTTTGTCTGTGTGTCTGTGTTTGTCTGTGCGTCTGTGTTTGTCTGTGCGTCTGTGTTTGTCTGTGCGTCTGTGTTTGTCTGTGCGTCTGTGCGTGTGTGCGTCTGTGCGTCTGTGCGTCTGTGCGTCTGTGCGTCTGTGCGTGTGTGCGTGTGTGCGTCTGTGCGTCTGTGCGTGTGTGCGTCTGTGCGTCTGTGCGTCTGTGCGTCTGTGCGTCTGTGCGTCTGTGCGTCTGTGTTTCTGTGTGTCTGTGTGTCTGTGTGTCTGTGTGTTTGTGTGTCTGTGTGTCTGTGTGTCTCTGTGCGTCTCTGTGTCTCTGTGTCTCTGTGGCTCTGTGTCTGTGTGTCTGTGTGTCTCTGTGTCTCTGTGTCTCTGTGCCTGTGTGTGTCTCTGTCTGTGTCTCTGTCTGTGTCTCTGTCTGTGTCTCTGTCTCTGTCTGTGTCTGTGTCTGTGTGTGTGCGTCTCTGTGTCTGTGTGCGTTTCTCTGTGAAATGTGTGTTTCTGTGTGTCTTTGTGTGTCTCTGTGGGTCTCTGTGTGTCTGTGCGTGTCCGTGTGTGGTTGCGTGTCTGTGTGTCTGTGCCTGTGCGTATGTGTCTGCGTCTTTGTGTGTGTCTCTGTGTGCCTGCCTGGTTTGCTGGCTGGCTGCCTGGCTGGCCGGCTGGTAGGTTGCTTGGCTGGCTGCCTGGCTGTTTGTCTGTCCCATGCTTTAGCCCGTCCGGCAGGAGGCGGAGGTGGAGCCCTTGGATGACAGCTCGGCGCTGCCCGCGGATCTGGAAGGCCTGCGGCGGGAAGCTATTCCTTTCCCTTCGACGAAAGACTTAAAGGCTGGCTGTCTACGGGCTAGGGCAAAGTCCATGTACTCGGCAATGTTATCTCCCTCCGCTTGTGAAAGGGATACTCCCACAAGCAAGCCTCTCATAGTGAACAAATTGAGCATGCTAAACATAATCAATGTTGACCCCGCATTCATGGAGGCGTATTGAGGTGATCCGGATGCCGTTTTTGGGACTCATTCAACAAAGGCAGGTCCTTCCCGCGCCAGGATTGTTCGGTTCATTGGGAAGCCTAAAGAGCCCAAGGAGCATCCCCAACAGCCCCGGCTTTTGCCAGAACCCAAAGCCCAGGGCTGGGTTGGCGGTGGCCACTGTTGGGCCCTGAACGAATTCTACCTTCATCAACAAACCATTGAGCAGCGCACAAACCCGTATCGCCATATGCGCCATTTGATAGCTGACGGCTTAGCCGTAGAACAAATTTCGCCCGTTCTGGTCATCCAATGCTGCCATCGACCGTGGCGCTTGAGGCCCTTGGCCGGGTCCCTTCCTGGAACCGGTGGTGCTGGGCATGGCTCAGCTGAAGCCGGCGCTGCGGCGCCAGCTGAGCCGCCGGCCCTCCACGCAGCTGGGGGACACAGTGGCGGCGCGGCTTCTGGGCTTTGTGTGCCTCTTCAAGGCAGGAGGATCAGCTAGGGTTCCCCAAGCAATCCCCGTTTCGGCGGTTTCGAACATCACCCTTCAAAGTGTCAAGTGGCCACTTTGGTGCCAATGTCACAGAAAGGGAGATGTCCCACAACTATGGTGAGTGATGGTCGGTGACCGTCAATGGGGAGGTCGGCCAACACAAAACCCCGCTGCGCGGGTGGGCAGCTTCTGTGCCAGCAGCAGTGCGACAGCGGACCGTTCTGGCGCAGCCTTTGGTGTTGCGCATGCTGTCCTGTGCTTTGAGGAACCCAAAGGTTCCACCATCACGGTGGAAACAATATGACCACGACCAACACGATGGATAGAGGGCTCGCAAATTGGCCTGGCTTTAGGAGGGACATTGGGACCTCCCTACCCCCTACGTTTCTCACCCTGCGTGCCCATGTTGCAAAGCCTTGCAAAGCCTTGCAAAGCCTTGCAAAGCCTTGCAAAGCCTTGCAAAGCCTTGTGAAGCCTTCCAGGGGGCCTTGGTTTTCTGCTTTCACTGCAAACTCCGTGCAAGAGGCCCTGCTCCGCGTGAGATCCTCGACTTTAGATGTGGAAACGCGGAAAGCTGGGCTGGGCAAACCTCAAGGAGTTGTACGGCTAAACTCCGCGGCAGGGCGCGGTTTGTTTGACCACCATCTTTGGGTATCCTGCGGCTTAAGCTTCTAGAGCATTGCTGCACGAGTAGAAAGAACGCACCTTATCACCTTCCCAGGCAGGGTTTATCGCTTCCCGCACACTCCTGGGCCCCAAAAGGGGGAAGAACATGGAAGAACCCCCAAGCCGGGGAGACGAACAAAACCGCTGGCCTCATTTCCAGGTCTGCGAGGTGCGTGTGGCACCGGACGGCGACTGGCCACGCCTGCGGCAGGCACCGCTGGAATCGGCGCTCGAATCCGCGGAGGTGCAGCTGGCAGCGGCAAAGTGCCAGGAGACGTCGGCAGAAGCCTGCGGCCTTTCTGGGTTACAGGTCTTTTGGGGGTAGGGGCCGCTTAAGCTCTAACTTGAATGCTACTGGCTCGTCGGACAAATGCAGATTTGCCCACTGACCAAACATGAAGCTGATTGGGCACGGCCAACAGCCTCCACGCTTTGCTGACGTGACGTGACATGTTGAAGCTTTTGCGACATGTGGGGTAGAATGTGAAGGTCCATTTGTGGCTGGGAGGCCAAAGCTGATCTATCTAATGTTTGGCTTCGAGGCGCAATGGATAGGCCATCCGCACCCACAACTTGCATTCGAGGCAGTGGATCACTTCTGAAAGTTAATATGCAGCACATTGCAATGTCCGAGAAAGCAACACTGAGAATGAACAATTAGTTGTCCATACTGGACGCGGCGGCTGATAGAGCAGCGGCGATATTGCGCACGTTCTTATTAACGTGATTTGCGATCACGTTTGCAAAAGCTTTGAAGCACTTGCCAGCTAGCGCCCAGCTGACAATGAGGAAGAAAGCAGAAACAAGATGGCGCATGGCGAGCAAGGTATGCAGGGCTTGTGTGAATGTCCGAAAGAAAGTGGGCATACTGTAGAACCACCTCCTTTCACTGAGTCATGTAAAGAAGCATGTGTTGGGGGTAACCTTCACCATGCGGCTGCTTGAGGAGCCTGGTGTCTCATGTATTGACCTCGTCATGACTTTTCGTGTGATTCCCCAACAAAGCTGGGACGAGGAATGCTCCCCGGATTTGCACTTCAGAGGGCACAGCCCAGCCGCCTTTCACAGTCAAAGAGCCCATCGCTGAATGCAATACGTTGATTGCTGCTTCGAAGCCTTGAGCCAAGTCCCAGAAAATATATTGTTCCCGCAAACCAGGCAGGCAAACCAGGCAGAAAGCCTGCCAACTGACACTTCCCTACCATGAAGAAGTTGTGCACGTTCTTCGGCAAAGGGGGGATAGCCCAGTGTTGTCATTGAGATGCCTTCACAGGATGGGGGTTCCCTAGATTTGCAGGCCACCAGGTAGGATGGGTGCTTGGGTGACATGGGCAAGGGCTATTGTCACGCGGGGAATCGTCCCGAAAGAATTGGTTTTAAACAAGGTGATTTTTCCATGGTGAGGGTGATGCTTAAGGAAAATTCCAGTGATGTCGAGAATGATGCAGTGTAGTTTGTTTTTGCTTGACTTCCTGCTTTGCCGGACAAAGCCAGGCAAGCCCGGAATCGCATGACTCTTTCTTCTTTTTTTTTGGTCTGACAGCCGGAGAATCACATTGGTAATTATGAGGAGCCACATATTGCTTTCATGGCGCGCTACTTTGCTTTGACTCTGGCACATGTCGAATGTCTGTGGCGGCTGTTGGTCAAGGAGCCTTGCGAAGGGGCCATTAGATAGGTGAACAAGCCGCCGAAGCAGTGACTAAGCCCGCTGAACTTGTGTGATGCAACGAGGTCCGATGCCCTTTTTCCGCACTCTCACCTTGACCAGTAGGCATATCCCAGGCCAAGATGGGCCCCTCTTTCCACCTGGGCCAACGGCTCGTCCCAACTTTCGAGTTCAAGCTCTTGTGAACCGTGGGAAGATTGCAGATGGGTCTGGTAGATAGCACGGTCTTCACGGACTTTTAGTCCTCCCCTTTACCCACATCCACCGGGAATTGTGCTATCTACTTTCACCTTGCTGGTGCTCAGCAGGGTAGGAATGACCCCCCAGTCCCTATGGTTTCCTTTAAGGAAATCCCAAGTTTATTCCCTCATTCCCTACTGAGCACTGGCAAGTGGATGTGGGTCAAAAATAGGTACCCCAAATGGTTTGCCTTGTACGTGGAGCCAAGCACTAAAACCTGTGGTCCCCTGGTTAAATTTTGACCCATACCCAAATCACCACGGCTCTGACCAAGTTTTGAAGTCAGGAGATGCTGCAAGAGCACCAGGCGCTCTTGTGCGAGAGCGGGCCCTCGGGGCGTGAGGCCGGGAAGAAATATCGGTTTTTGGCCTGTTGGGCGTTGCTCAAAATAGAGTTGCCCCAACTAACGGGTGGCTTCCGGTGGGGGTTCCCTTTAAAAGGGCTAACTTACAAAAAGGGGGTCGACCAATTTGTGTGAGATTCACTTTTCGATTTCAGAATGCGTCAGCATTGGTGGCACTTTTCAAGGAGATGGTGGAGGATGGTGTGCATGCAGCTTGTCGGTATGTTTCCATGCCTTCCGATTTTGTGAAACGGAAGATCCTGGGCGAATAGAGGGAAAGAAAGAGAGAGAGAGCGAGAGAGAGACAGAGAGATGGCCAGTTTTGTTTGAGAGGCGCCCGGCGCCCAGGATGTATTTATTTATTTTGTCCAGACGGTACGCATTTGCAGCTGAGCTGATGCTCTGATTGGTGCACCAGCATAGGTTTGCACCACTTGTTGGCCACCGACATACCATCGCGGCTGTTGATGCCAAGGGCCCAGTGTCACTGCTTGCAAAGCTGCTGTCCGCTGTAGGGTGCAAGCACCTTGTGACCAACAAAACGGGTGGATCCTTGTCCAGACATCCCAAAAGCGAAGTAACACCCAGTTGCGTGTTGCAGAAGGACTTTCATAGCTGCAAACTAAATGAGGTCTTTGGGTTTAACCCAGAAACAACCAACCAGCCAAAGAACCATGTCGGAAACGCCGAAATGCCGATGACAGGTGCTCGCTTTCCTAGCGGCACTGCGTGAACTCGCTGACCGCCCGCTGCTTGAAGTCAGGGAGGGTGTGTGTGGAATTCCTGCCGTGTTACCCCTACCTCAATCCCAAGGGGCCCAAGGGGCCTGGTTGAAGTAGATGACATGTCTCTCATCCAGGCAGACTATCGCTCGAATGGCGGGTATGATGTTCGGAATCGAGGAGGGTGCTTTTGCATTGAGCCCGTGTCAGCTCAGCCTGTTTCTGAAGCGTTGCTTGGAGGTCCAAGAGTATGGGCAAGACCTTGACGCCTGGACTGGTACGGTTCAAGTGACGCGGACCTGGCCATCGCTTGACTGGTGTTTCACGTTTGTTCGAGCTTGACATATTTGAACGGCTTAGCGCACGGAATCGCTGAGGCTGCTTTTCTTTCCACTGGTGGAGATGCTGTGGCAGAGCTTGCAGCATGGCTTGATCCGCACCTTCACGAGCTTGCTTGAGAGCCCCGGCCTGAAACATGATGTGTCATGTTTGCCAGCGACTTTCCTGTGATTCTGAATGAGTCTGGCAAGCATGAGTTGTTACCTAGCTCATATGACATGGTCCTTTTCCGCCGGAATGAACCTCGCCCATGTGCAGCAAGGCCAACTGAGGATGCTCAAGCCAGTTTGCCTGCCTTGGAAGTTCCAACTGTGTTTCACAAGGTGCTTTTGGAGCAACGAAAGGTGGCCCCCTCACTTTTCTTTTCAGACTCCCTCATAGGCTTGTGAGAGGCCCAGCCAGCCAGAGGTTTAAAATGAAGGATTGATTGGCTCCACGCCTTTTTTCTTCTGAAAAATAGGTACATATGTACGTTGTTCTGGGTTTACAGTATTTTTTCAAGGCAAAGCTTAGGTACCTTTTTACGTGCGGTCAACGTTTCTTAGATAAACTGAGAGGCGGGGGAGGGGAAAGGAGAGCGGAAAGAAGGGGAAGGTGGAAACTGAATACACGCAGGTAAAACTCCACTAGGGCACAACAAGATGTAAATATGGGGCCAAACCGGCCAGGAAGCACAAAAACAAATCTAAAACATGTCAACATACAAAGCAAAATCTCAAAACAACACAAGATCAATTGCACAAATGCTGCCCCCTAGGCCGGCCAAATGCAAACCTGAATGCAAGCCCAGACTTAGCCTCAAGGAAGGCGAGGGAAGAGGAAAGCGGACAGATTTTCACGTGCAGCCGAGCCGAGTTTGCACCACGCCCGCGCTTGCATGTCAACCGTTTGCGCTCACAAACCTGTTGTCACCGAAAGACTGTGCCCCGGAAGTTCTCGCCCGGAATGACGATCCAATGCGGCCAAGGGACGGGGGAAGCTGGTCCTTAGGGTAGGAATTCAGGTGGTGAGCCTGCCTATCAAAGCTGTGGTCTGCCCAGCGGATGGATTGGGGTTATTCCCAAGTATTCAAATGCTTTGCTTTGAGAAGAAGGTATGTGGGGGTGTCCGCTTCAAACCCACCTTGAACCGCAACAAAAAACACTCACCACATTGCGAAGGAACTTCCTGGCCCACCTGCTGGAGGGCCCGGCGGTTCTTTACCTTGGCCCCCTTGATGGCCCCTTGCCCACGGAGAATTTGCAGGAGGCCCGCGGGTGAAGAGCGGGGCTTGTCCTACTACCAAGCAGGGGATCAGCTTTTGTGGGAAGTGCCTCTTTGCGTGACCAAGTCGCCCCTGAGTGCCCAATGATTTGCTTATTTTCACTTACACAGAGCTACCGCAATAAAATGTTCCATCTACCCAAGGCCTAGCTTGTTGGGGATGGGTCAAACAGAGTCCGGACTTTTCAGTCCTGATTCAGGAGAGCCGCTGTTAAAGCATTTGTTTGGAGGGTCCCCGAGGCACGAACAAAGCTGTCTGCCAACTTGCCACCCTCTCCGGTACGTGCGAATGTGCATGCATTCGCCCCTACACTCCGTATGCGTCTGCATAAAAAGATATTCTCAAGTGCGGTCAGAATTATCGCACAAGCACGGATGAAGGGGGGGCATGTTAGAACGCTTGGGAGGCCGCATAACAACAAGGGGCTCACAAAGTCAACCACCCCATTCCCGCCAACAGTTGAATCTGTCACGTTGTGTTTCTTTGCTTGCGTGTCTGCTTGCTTCCTCGTCGCGTGGACCAAAACAGCACCTGACACCATCGAGCCAGGATCGCGGAGAACTGCCCCCAGCTCAGACTTCGAAGTCCGAAGTCGACCAGTGCCACACCCACAGCCCCATGCAGACGAAACGACTCACCTGGCCCCCCGCCCCTGGCCCCCCCAGTTCCTTCGCCGAGCCTCCTTTCGTTTTCTGGAGGCCTGGTGGCCCTTGCGTCGCCCGGGGCTGCAGCTGCTAGGCAGCTGCCGCATCCAAAGCGCTGCGCCTGGGCTCGCCGACGCGGGGACGTCGGGGAGGGGTGAACGAATGTGACCTGGGGGCTCCCTTTCCGGTGGTTGGAGCTGGAGTACTTGGGCCAGCCGCGTCCGGATTCCGACGGCTTCTCCTTAATTGACCCGGCATCTTGCCATCATTGAGCTTCGAAGCGCGCACAGCTCGCTAAATAAGCCTGGCCAAGCAAACAAAACACTATTTATGTAACATTTCCAGAGGACCCGGTGCCCGTTGCCCCAACGTGACTTGCTGATTGAGGGTGTCTGAATTGGTGCGGGGATTCTCTTTAAATAATAGTTCCACAGCAATGATCTGCGTCCAAGTTCCTAACAACCTCAGGAGTATTTACGTGGGCTGCTCTGAGCGACAAGCCTGACAAGCTTGGCAGAGCCCAAATTTTTGGGAGCAACCAGTCATTTGTGGAAAGGGGCCAAAAGAATTGATACTTCAGGAAGTTATAGCCAGGGGGTTGTCGAAATTGGGGGGTCCTCTTTCTGCATTGGCGTTGCAAGGTGGCAGAGATTGGCGGCACCAAGGTCCAAAAAGGAACCGGCCATCTTTCTGTAAACTCCCCCTCCCCACCTGCAATTGTGCAGTTTTGCTGGTGCTGCAACCTCCAAGTCAACTTGTCAGGCTTGCTCATTTGCCAATGTCTTGCCTCAAAAAGGTGGGCGCCCTTGCCAACCCTCCTGGCGCCCTTGCCAACCCTCGTGCCAGTCATGGGAAAGTGGACGGGGGGCGTGTTCCAAAGTTGAAAGTCGTCTTCCAATCCCTGGCAGTTTTCATGGGATGCCGAAAAAAAGGGCGTGCCCTTTCCGCGGGCAAGGCGAGGTCAGGGCGGTTTAAAAAGGAATGCCGCTCGATGTGACGCGCGAGGTTCGCCCTGCGCTGCGGGCCCTCTTCGAGACCACGGCCTCTCTGGACCTGCGCGCGGCACCCTCAAAAGGCGCGACTTTGTCAAGCGATGGAGAGACTGAAGCCTCGGATGAATAAAACAAACCCAGGATTAGTACTGTAAACCCATGGTAGGTTTACGGGGTGGCGGGGGGTGGGGGTGTCAAAGTCTTCAACAATCGTCAATCCAGGATGTGCCAACACTTCCTAGCACATCCCAGTAGTGTTCTGCTGAAAATCTTCAATCCAAGATGTGCTAGCATGTGCTAGCACATTCTGGTAGCACATCCTGGATTGAAGATTCCCAGGACATGATTTGAGAATCGCCAACCATCGATCTTCAATTCGAGGATGTGCCTGCACGTGCTAGCACATTGTGATAGGTTAGCCCTAAGGATGTTGACCAACTCAACTTGCAAGGTTGATTAGTGAAGAAAGGCGTATTGTCCAAGATGAGGAACACAGAGCATTGACCTTGGGGTTTATGATGTCTTAAGAATATAGCCGAGAACTCCAGCGGCTGCCATACTTTACTGCATACACGTCTAGATAGATAGATAGATAGATAGATAGATAGATAGATAGATAGATGCATACGTAATGTGTGGGATACATGCTGGAGTTTCCACACGCCGAAACATATGAACTTGAACTATGAGGTGTCTATCCCGTAAGGTAGGGGTTCGGTTCGGCCATGGGGCTTCCTGTCCGCCAGGAGCGGCTCCTGAGAAGGTGGACCTGATTGGCCAGGAGGAGATGAAGCGTGAGCTGGCCGCCACGGTGCTGCAATACTTCACGTCAGCAGCTCGGATGCGGACCCAAGGAAATTTCACCCGGAGGTAGGCTGACGGGTTTACTAACACTTGTCCCGCGCAGTTGCAGTTAAACTGGTGGAGCACGCTTTGTTGACCGTGTTACCCTCAGTTTCGCCCCGAGCAACAGCCAAGACACGGGTCGTGGAGGTACTAGAGCCTCTTTTGGACAAGGTTTGACACAAGCATGGCCTTGTCATCCAAGTCGTGCCTGCGCGCATAGAAAGCCAACAAAGAAAGCAGATACCACGGGAAAGTAAGAATGAGCCGGACCAAACACAATCGTCCCATTTAATTTGACTGTTAGTTAGTTGTTTCATTGCCACAACCCACGCAAACAAGCTTTCTTTGCCCCTCTGTTGTTTTACTTTCGGCACTTCCAGATGCGCCATGGTTCCGCCGCTTAGTTCCGGGGGTGAGCGAATGTACGCGGCCAAAGCCATGGCAATTTGGGTTGGCGGGGCGCTGGACCGGCTGCCAAACATGAATGGTGAGTCAACCTATTTTCCTGGGTTTCATAACGGATGGCAGTGGCACCCGTACATTGTCCTTTCGTTCAGTTCACAAGGTGTCCATCTTTTTGAAACTCCAGTGGCCAGTTTCTTGGACCTTCTAAGGTGGTACTTCAGCCCCTTGGGGCCCAAACAAGAATCCACCAAGGGTGCTTGGACTCGTGGGCAACGGGGGTTTGACCCAATCGGCCGACCGAAAAGCGTGAGGCCGAGATGTTCCACCGCCTGGGGTTGGCGTGGCCCCCGCGCACCTTGGTCCACGGCCCCCCTGGCTGTGGCAAGACTCAGCTGCTGCGGTGGCTGGCGGCTGAGGCGTCTGGGCCTTGGGGGGTCGGTGAGGGGATCCTTTGCTGGGCTGAACAGAGACAAATCAAGTGCAAGAGCAACAATGGGCCCTAAACCTCATGTGGTGAGCACAAAGTTTGCCGGTTCAAGCAGAGAAAGACAAACAGACAGACGGACAGACAGACAGACAGACAGACAGACAGACAGACAACAGACAGACAGACAGACAGACAGACAGACAGACAGACAGACAGACAGACAGACAGACAGACAGACAGACAGACAGACAGACAGACAGACAGACAGACAGACAGACAGACAGACAGACAGACAGACAGACAGACAGACAGACAGACAGACAGACAGACAGACAGACAGACAGACAGACAGACAGACAGACAGACAGACAGACAGACAGACAGACAGACAGACAGACAGACAGACAGACAGACAGACAGACAGACAGACAGACAGACACACAGACACACAGACACACAGACACACAGACACACAGACACACAGACACACAGACACACAGACACACAGACACACAGACAGACGGACAGACGGACAGACGGACAGACGGACAGACGGACAGACGGACAGACAGACAGACAGACAGACAGACAGACAGACAGCAAACTAACCTAAACTAACAAGCAAGCAAATTAGATGTTATCTCCCAGGGCTGCGGAGGAGCCCTGCCGCAGTTCTTGCGCGGTGCGCGCGCCAATTGCCAGGTTCAGAAGCTTGAAATCTTCGTCTTGTGGCTACGGCCAGCCGACATTTGGTCGCGGTACCTCGGGGAGAGCGAGGCGCGCTCGCCGCACATGGTGCACTTTGCGTTTGGCTTTTGTTGAAAATCCATCTGTAAGGGCCCTATTGATGGTCGGGGTTTCCCGTTTCCCTGTCCCTCAGATTGCGGACTGGGATGGAGGATGCATTCCGAACCAACCGGCACCAAGACCACGAAACAATCCACCAGTGTGCACTTTTTTGGGGCCTTAGAGACAGTGTTTCACGGCCACTGACTGGGACCGATGAATCGCGCAGTCAGGAACGCTTGCGCGCCGCCTTCAGCAGAGCAGCGGAGCACGGCCGCACTGGCGGGGCGCTGCTTCTCATCGAGGGCCTAGATGAGCTTTTTGGCGCGAAATGGCTGGCGCGCTTTTGCTTTTGCATTCTTTGCCACAAACTGAATTCAACTTGCAACACTGCAGGGATCAGCCGCAAAGGGGGTTAGACGAGGGGCTTTCCCAAGAGGATAGTCTCTTCCAATCTGTTCGCTTGGGATTTGCCGGAGGGAGAGTCCAAACTTGGCTTTCCGGCAGCCGGCAAAGGAATGCGGCTGTATGAGGCAAAAGCTGTGTTTTTTTTCCGCTCAAGCCAACATGCGTAGATTCTGACATATCAACCAAACAAGGTAGCGCCGCACTGCAGTCGCGGAAGGTTTGCGGAAGGTTTTTTCACCGTGGAAGTTTGTGGAAGGGACCTTGTTGTTTTGTACATAGTAGTTTGATTTCGGTTGGGTGGTTGCTGCTAAGCTAAGCACTTTTACTTGCAAACCATGCAGAAGAATTTCCTCGCGGAAGCTACCTTGCTCAGTTTCCAGAAGCAACTTGCTTGTGGAAGGCCCGCGGAAGCACTTAGACAAACTTATATAGGAAAATGCTCGCGGAAGGTACCCTTCACACCGCGGAAGCTTCGCGGAAAATTTCGCGGAAGGGTTTGATACGTTAATGCAAGTTTGAAGGGAATAAAAACCACCACTCAATTGTTTTTTTGCACAGGCCTACGTTTAGCGATTCTGAAGCGAAAGGCCCACAGGGTGAGGAATCCATGGATGCTGTTGGCAGAGTTTCAAGATATGCCCGTGTGACGAAGCTGAAGGGGAAGCAAAGCACATCGCAAGTTGCAATGAGCAGATGCCGCCAAACATAAGTCCGAAGTGGTACCCAAAGGCTGCGACACTGTGATGTTCCAATATGGGTGGTTTTTGAAAGATGCGTGGAAACCCAACTGTTTCCCTACTGCTTCCCGTCGGGGAAGTGTGCTTGCGTGTGTGCTCGCGTGCTTGCGTGCGTGGGAGGGTGCGGGTGCGTGCACGTATGCGTGTGCGTGTGCGCGTGCGTGTGCGTTTGCATGCGTGCGTGTGCGTTTGCATGCGTGCGTGTGCGTGCGTGCGTGTGAGCGTGCGCGCGCGCGCGCGCGCGCGCGTGTGTGTGTGTGTGTGTGTGTGTGTGTGTGTGTGTGTGTGTGTGTGTGTGTGTGTGTGTGTGTGTGTGTGTGTGTGGGGGTGTGTGCGCCTGTGCGCCTGTGCGCCTGTGCGCGTGCCTGCGTGTGTGCGTGTGTCCGTGTGTGCGTGCCTGCGTGCCTGCGTGTGTGCGTGCGTGCGTGCGTGCGTGCGTGCGTGCGCGCGTGCGTGTGTGTGTGTGTGTGGGTGGGTGCTTGTGTGTGTGTGTGTGTGTGGGTGGGATGGGGTGTGTGTGTGTGTGTATGTGTGTCTGTGTGTGTGTGTGTGTGTGTGTTTGTGTGTGTGTGTGCGTTTGTGCATGTGTGTGAGTGTGTGTGTGTGTGTGTGTGTGTGTGTGTGTGTGTGAGTGTGTGTGTTGTGCGTGTGCGTGTGCGTGTGCGCGTGCGCGTGCGCGTGCGCGTGCGTGTGCGTGTGCGTGTGCGTGTGCGTGTGCGTGTGCGTGCGTGCGTGTGCGTGTGTGCGTGTGCGTGTGCGTGTGCGTGTGCGTGTGCGTGTGCGTGCGTGCGTGCGTGCGTGCGTGCGTGCGTGCGTGCGTGCGTGCGTGCGTGGCGTGCGTGCGTGCGCGTGCGTGCGTGCGTGCGTGCGTGCGTGCGTGCTCGTGCGTGCGTGCGTGCGTGCGTGCGTGCGTGCGTGCGTGCGTGCGTGCGTGCGTGCGTGTGTGCGTGCGTGTGTGCGTGCGTGCGTGCGTGCGTGTGTGTGTGTGTGTGTGTGTGTGTGTGTGTGTGTGTGTGTGTGTGTGTGTGTGTGTGTGTGTGTGTGTGTGTGTGTGTGCATGTGTGTGTGTGTGTGGGTGGTGCGTGCGTGCGTGCGTGCGTGCGTGCGTGCGTGCGTGCGTGCGTGCGTGCGTGCGTGCGTGCGTGCGTGCGTGCGTGCGTGCGTGCGTGCGTGCGTGCGTGCGTGCGTGCGTGCGTGCGTGCGTGCGTGCGTGCGTGCGTGCGTGGGCGGCTGGGTGGGTGGGTGGGTGTGTGTGTGTGTGTGTCTTTGTGTTTGTGTGTCTGTGTGCGTGTGCGTGTGCGTGTGCGTGGGTTTGTGTTTGTGTTCGTGTTTGTGTTTGCTTTTGCGTTTGTGCTTGTATTTGTGTGTGTGTGCGTCTGAGACTGTGTGTGTGTGTGTGCGTGCGTGTGTCTCTGTGTGTCTCTGTGTGTCTCTGTGTCTCTGTGTCTCTGTGTGTCTGTGCCTGTGTGTGTTTATAAACACGTATACGTTTGTACGTCTATGTATCAGCCCCTTCCTCGATCACAGGCCTTTCGTCCACTACAAAAAGTAGGCGGGCGCAACCCCGACCTGGGAAGCGAAATGCATTTGCTTGGAGCAACATTTGTGTTTTTCATTTGGATTGATCTCTCACCCAAAACGGCGCCGACTTTGCTGGGATCTGCTTGGAAATGGACCACGCTAAGCAAATGCGTCTCGGAGGGCCAAGGCTGGGGCAGCTTGGGATGGATTGGCTTGAAAAGAGGGCCCAAATTCCCACACTGGATGTCCGGTGGCTCCAGTGACCCTGAGAACGAACAGAAGACACAAAGAAATTCATCTGAGCGGCGGTTTTTTACCCGCAAGCTAATTTAGTGGGGAGAGGGACATTATTATTGAAAATGTGCGCCGCGCCACACGCGCGGAAGCATGCGGAAGGCTCGCGGAAGAGATTTGTTCGCGGAAGGTTTGCGGAAGCTTGGTGGCTGATATACAACTAAATGTTTCAGTGCGTGCATGGAAAAGCTCGGAGAAACAATTCCAGTAGAAGAAAAGGTGTTGCTGCGTACAAGAAACGTAACGCTTACTCGAAGAGCAGATGCCAACAGCAGCCAAGAAGGCCTAAACAGCCGGCGTACTTCGCGGAAGGTTTGCGGAAGCTTCGCGGAAGCTCCGCGGAAGGGTGGCCCCGTGTTTGCAGGCAAGCGGCCAAGTAGCATGGGTAGCCCAATGGAGCCCAAGCCTACACAAGCTGCGGCGGAACACTACCTCACTTAAAATGACTTTCCTTTCTGCGCCAATGCTCGCGGAAGCAAAACTTGTAAACCATGCCCCGCGGAAGGTTTGCGGAAGCAAACAATGAAACACATGTGCCGCGGAAGTTCGCGGAAGGGACCTCTTGGCCCGCGGCAAGGATGCGGAAGGGTCCGCGGAAGCTTGAATAATGTCCAAGCAAGTTTGTAGGGAATAAAAACCAACGCTCATCTTGTGCTTTTGCCTGTCAGTGCCTAGTACATGTTGTAAACCACCGTGGCCGGTTGTGTATGGACGATCTTAGAAGCTTGTCCTTCCAGGTACCTTTGTCCGGCTCCATGTTTCTGACTGGGCGAGCAACAGGCCTGTCGCACAGAGGGGCTATCCATTCGTCTGACTGTTGCCTTTGGACACATGACGTTACCATTGGTTCTCCCTCTGCTCTGGTCGGACTGGGATGATTTGCGCCGAGGTTCGTTCAGCCGAAGCAGTCCGAGAGCAGTTTTCAGAATCGCCTCACGGCGACTTTGTTGACTTTGCTCGACGGCATCGATGCCCCAGTGCAGTGCCTTGGGATTGATTCACATTCCTCGCGATTCGAAGGCCACGCAGATTTAAAAAGCGCAATCCTGTGTGACTTTGAATGTGCCACTTGCTTTTTGTGGGGTCTTGGATGCATTTGGACCAGTGCCATGACAATCCAATCAAGCATTCCGCTGGCAAGGGGGGGCAACCCAAGATATGGGATGGAGTTGCCATCCACCCGTCGTAGCAGTGACAGGGGGGCGTTGCAACTTTGCAAGCAAAATGGGATGAACCTGCCTTGTTGGGCCTCAAGATGACCCAAGATGGCCTGATAGTTTTTGTTTTGTCTAAGTATATCTCTGATAAAGACTTCTCGATGCGAAGCCTCCAGTTGACAGGCGTCTGAATGCGAGTTCAAAGCGGACGTCTCGCAGATTCGATCCCTGCAGCCACAGCTCCATTGGAATGTGCTTGTATTTCCCACATCTATGGTGATCTTGTTTGGTTGGGTAGCCTTTAAGCAGATAAACAGTTTGGAGCAGGTGTTTCCCAAAAGGAAACAAGGAAGCAGCTCAATGGACCATCCATGTTTCTGCATGTGACCTCGCCTATTATATATATATATATATCCCCGTTTGTGGTTGATCCTTGCAGCCTCCATTTGGGTTGTTAACCTGCCATGCATCAGGAGCCCCGCAGGACTGCGCAAGGGACTGGATGCTCCAGGTGCACCTATACTTCGGTTTGCTGACAGAAGGGCTGCCTTGCAACCTCTCATATGCCCTTGGACACTGCCCAGGCTCCCATCCACACGAGCACCGGCATATTGCATGCCTGGCGTTTCCAGTGGTCGAATCTGCTGCGGGAATGAGTGATCTCATCCCGTCATGCAATGCTATCTGGGTGCGCTCTGATTGCCTTTGGTACAGCCTGTGACTGTGGCCAAAAGTTTGCCCCTCCTGCCTGAATACCTTGCCATGGTTTGCGAGCGGCTATTTGTTGAACCTTTAGCACCGTCAAGCCTGTGAAGCTGTGCTCGACATGCCACCTTGTCCCTGAGATGCCAATCGATGTCCCACGCAGGGGCTCGCCTTGCCAGAAACGGGTTATCCTTTTCAGCTCTCTGAGCCAAAGGCTTCCACCACCCCGGCGCCGAGGCCGGGTTCGATGGGCCTGGCGATTTGCGCCACCTCCCGGGTGCCGGCAGAGGACTTGGACAGTCGCCTCACGCGGCCCGGGCGCATGGACCGCTGGCTCCGGCTGCTCGGCAAAAGGGAGGGATGAACGCTTCAGCGGCTGGAGCCTGCCTGCGCGATGGCATTTGTGGGACGCGGTTTTGTTTGACTTTGATTTGTTGAGCGCCTAGGGGGGGATCAGGGATTACTATTTTTAAACATGGACCCCACCCCCCTCCCCCACAAGGGCAAGAACATCTCTTGTTTCTTGGTGGGCTCTCCACCAAAAGATTCCCCAAAAGCGCCCGCCGCTTTTACAAATTCCCACTGTGATAAGAGGAGGAGTCTCCTGTGAAGAACCCGCTTTCTGGCTTCCATCGAAATTTGAGCCAGTTGACAACATGCTGTTACCCAAGAGTCCTTGTGACAGGCCTAAGTTGGGTCCAACCTAGGCTCATGCAGGATCCAAAGCCTTCAGGATGACTACTTAAACGGATCCAAGTGGCATGAAGGGCTACCCCACAAGACAAATTGTGAAATACAACAACTGATCCATTACCAAGTTGCTTCTGTTTGGCAATGCGAAGGTGGGGTGCCTGTCTGCCCTGCATGAGTAGCAGTGTCGTTTGCTAAAGGTCGCATGCGCAATTCGCGATGATCGTGTAATTTGTCTCCCCTTGAGATTTGAAGAGGGGAGATAAATTTATGTGTGTTGGTTCGCGTTCAATGGCCTGCATCGACTGGTGTAAGGGATTGCGTGCGTGCTTGGGCGAAGGGGTGACAGTATGCTTTCCTCAGGTAATCCCAGTTTTACAGTAGCACCAGGTGGCACCCTTATTCCTGTTTGTCTGGCGGATTCCTCGCATAAAGTGGTCAACTCAAGAAAGGGTGCTGGGGTCTCTGATTGCTCATCATGCTGCGTGCATATTGCTTAAAAGAGCTGTTGCCTGGCATTGTTTTTTGTTCTTCTTCCTTTTTTATTTTATTTTTTCAGCTCAGACCAAGCTCGACTGGTACCTCAGCATCCCTTGAATTGCCGCGCTGGGCTAAGGAGGCCTAGTTTTTGCATTTTTTCCATAATGATAACACCAACCCAATCCGCAGAACCCGACGTGATTCAAGAGTTGATTTACGCCACCTTAAAACTGACTGTGCCAGAAGTCCCATGAGTCTCCCAAGGCCTGCAATTCATACCGCCCTTTCCCAAGAAGCTCCGACTGAGACTCATGGGATGATTTTGCTCTTTCTAATGGTTATCAGGAATATAGGTCATTTCCCTTGGAAATCAGTGGGGCAGGGTGACTTTTGGGGGGCTCTCCACTGCTTTCGGTGTTGTTCCGTTTTCCTACCTTTCGGGTGACTGGTTGCAAATGGGTCTGGGTTGATAGCCAGTGCGGCAGACTCAGGATGACTCCGAACTCCGTCCTCCAGCCCTCAGAGGCCAAAACTGCTGGCGGCTGGTTCTGTGCTTACCCGCCTTGTTGGGACAATCCAGAAATTGTGTTTGGCTCATGGTTGGCACAAGGCGGTCTCGAACACTGCGAATGTGTACCAGAGTCGGTCAAACAAGAGTTGCAGACAACTCGGCGTGTGTGTGGTGGTTGGTTTGGGGCTCCGCATGATGCTTCTTCATAGCTTTGGTTCGGTGACCGGTGCGTGCCCTGCAGCAAATGGGTGTCGTTACAAAGGGACCTCTAAACATGGGCTTAGGACACCTCAGCCAAGTGAGCACCAACGCAAGAATCTCACATCTCGCATCTCTACCCCCCTGGCTTTCCACAGTTTGCCTGGCCAGGGGACACTTGGCTCTTGGGATTCCTTCAATCAACCCAGCTTCTCCTGGCAGGAAATTAGATTTTAGACGTGCCCGTATTCCACAAAACCACAGTGAGCATACGGTCCCAAGCAGAGACATATCCCGAAGGGCGCCTGGGCTGATCTAGTCACCCACAGATGAAGGCCTGGCATATAAAACAATTTCACTGGCTCAATCTGGGGCAGGTGAGGAAAAGCCATATAAGGGTTTCTCAAAACCGTGAACCCCCTTTTTGGTTAGTGTTTAATGGGAAAGCGACAGGCCACCAACTGTTTTAGCAGTTTGAGACATCCCCAGATATTTCTGTCCCTTTGCTTTCCATTGGACCCTCCCTAGGCTTCAAGTGCCGACAGGCGCCTCCTCCTGTGAGGGATCTGGCCTCGGACCTGGCGGCGGCCCTGGCGACGAAGGTGCCCTCCGACGATGAGGAGACGACGTGACAGAAGCTGACTCGGCTGTACGGTGGCCCCCTGAGTAGCAGCTGGCCGTTTTTTGTTGTTGTTTGTTTTCTCTTTGTTTTCCCCCACAACAGCTGAAAGCTTTGGGGTCTCAGCCCAGATAGGCTCCAGGGTGGTCCGGGGTGGCCCTGAGGTAAGGTTGCACGAGGTTCCACCAGGGTTCCACCTGGATTCCACGAGGGTTCCACCACGTTCTTCGAGGGCTGCGGGGTGTGCGAGCGCTAAAAAGAGCACTGCATGCTGTTGGGGATAACACGTGAGCATATTTTTCGTTGGGACGAGCGAATGAGCAGGGGATATTGAGATTGCACTAGAAAGCACAGAGCAAACGAGCAAAACGGCTTCCGCGTAGCCAGTTGCAAGTGAATCGACCGAGTCCAAACACAAAGCCCTAGTAATTTGCAGCAAAATGCAGCCTCTTAGTTGTGGCCATACCGGCCGGGGGACCAAGCGTGTGCAACCCAACCTCAAAGATATAGCTGAGAAGGCCTCGTCGAGGTGTCCGATTTTGGGACCGCTTGTTGTGAGGAAAGCAGAGCACCCCGAGAAGGCAAGCAATGAGAAGGGGAATCCGGGTTTTGGTTTTGCATTCCTGCTGTTGGGAGTTAGCTCGTTTGGCTCCCATCCAAAAGTGTTTTTTTTTCTGCTGCTGACCGATATCATTTGCAGCCGGCTCAGCGGATTTGTGTTCTGCATTGCCTTCATTGCTGACCACCGACCTAGGCAAAGGCTTTGGCACACTTTGTTTATGTAACAGATCCACAGAAAACAAGTCCTATGGTGTGGGGTGAAACAAGCGCTCCAATCAATGCACCCCAGCAAGTAGATGGTGCAGGTTGCTCAGGTAGCTGTCGTTCCCTTTACCTTATGGCATGACAGCAAACGTACCTTCATGTTTCGGCCAAACGAGGTAGGCATGAGTTCTTGACCCAGCTTTGGCCAACAGTAGGATTAGTCATCGCAGCTGCCTCACCTGGGTAGTAGCTTAGGTACATCCTATTCGGCAAAACGGTGCCCTTAACACTTTTGGAGCTGCACTTCTGTCGGGGCCAGGAGCTTTGACGGAAACGCCGACCTGAAGCCACGACGCGCGGATGGCCGGCATGCGTGCGTCAACAGGTCGCAGCACCACGACCATCAAGCTGACGCCGCCAGTCGAGGTTTGGCTCTACGCGAAGATGAGCGAGGGAACGCGAGTGATGTCTCCCGGAATCTGCGGGAAGGCATTTTGGCATGCGAGAGGTGCCAAAATGGGCGGCGCGACATGTGCATGTGACATGTAGGGACAGGGTGTGGCTTGCATGGGTCTGTGTGTGTGTGTATGGTTATTGTTTTGTTCTGTTTCTGTTTTTGGGGAGGGGAAGGGGACGAAAAACTGGGACAAGCACGAAGTTGGTTCTCCTTCACTGGGATCTCCTTTGAACGTATTTTTTTTTTGAGGTTCACCAAATATTGACCAAGCATATTCTCAGGCAACCCTCAGTTGGCGCTTTGATGAACCGCTGGTTCGGTTTAGAGGGTAACTGACCAAAAACCGCACACCCAACCATATTGTTGGGGCTAACGCTGACACAGACGTTTCGCCGTTTCTCAGTTCACGCCAGGCTGGCACTTCAGAACTTGGCCCACTGGAGCCGCGTCTACCGCGCCCACCGCTTCCGTCACCACCAGCAGACCGCGGGGCTGACAGCACGGGTCCAAGTGGAGACCCAGGGTTGGTTGGTGTAAACAAGGGGTCATGTGAGTGCCTGCAAGGAGCAGCCCAGAGGGAGGTTAAGACCATGGTGGGTGAACATGTATGGACGCGGGCTTACCCAGCCTATAGTTGCAACATATTCAAAAACTGTTCACATATCAAATGGTTGGTGGACATATATAAATCTTCATGGGCCCATTTCAAGTTAAATATACACGGCAGCGCCCCATAAAATGATTGGGTTCGATTTTGCGCTGTGTCCATGGTTTGCGGGCTGCTCAAAGGCAATTGTCTTCTACGAAGGGGATCCCCTTTGTCAAATTTGTAGGCAGATTGCCTCATATGACACCCCACGAATCCGCATGCTGAAGCCCCCCCCAACCAAAAAAACAACAACATTAAGATAGATGAAGAAACAACAGGGGAGCAAAAAGGTGAGGGTTCACGAATCATTCTTTGCGGTTGCAAAAGCACGGCTTCTCTCAAATAGCCCCAGAGTTCATAAACGGGTGACCATCACTCCGGCCCGTCCATGTCTCTTGCTCACCATCCGTGCCACCCTCCCATCCCACCACACCCAACTCTGAGACCTGGAGGATTCCCTAAGCCCTAAGCCCTGGGCATGGAGTTGGGCCCCTGACAAAGGGGTGGTTTCCTGTGTTTGCAAGCAGATGGCACATGGAATTGCTGGGATTGATCCGCTTGAACAAGCACGAATCACGGCTGAGCTTGTTCCGCCCAAGGCCAAATCACTGACCACTGCTTCCTGAAGCTTAAAACCCCTTCTCCAAGTTCCCACATTTCTTGAGGTACATTGTCCAAAAGCCTGGTTTCCTATGGTAAGTATCTCCCTGCTTAGTCATGATTCAATAGGTGTTTTCTTGCCCCAATGCCATGGTTTGATCCATGTGTGGTTTCATTTCCCTGTCAGCATCCTGGAGGGGTCACAGTTTTAGGCTAAAGGTTACAGCAAAACACGAGTCCCAAACAAGTGCTCATGAACAAACATGTTTCAATATAAAGCCATGCATCCAAACACCATGAGATTCCAAACAACTTGGGAAAGCCACAAACGAATGCAAAATCCAAAAAGCATTGGATTCCAATCAACTTGGGGTAGCCAAGTTATTTTTCAATCCTCCTTGTTCCCCCCCCCCCCAAAAAAAAAAAAAAAAAACTGATCTCCCGCCGCTGCGCCGCTCCGCGGCCAATCCGAGGGCCTGGCCTGGCGCGGCTGGCTGCGGGAGCTGCGCGCCGCGCAGCGCGCGGAGTGGGAGAAAGCGCAGCGGGCCTCGGCGCGGCGGAGCTTCGTGGTGGCGCGGCGCCTTCGGCGCGATTGGCGGCTCAAAGGGGAACCGCCGAAATGGATGATGATGATGATGATGATGATGATGATGATGATGATGATGATGATGATGATGATGATGATGATGATGATGATGATGATGATGATGATGATGATGCCTGTGGGGTTTCCCATCAAGCCAATCAAAAATAAAAGGTCAAACAAAACAAAATGGAGCAACATAGTTGGGTTCTCGTGGCTGGTTTCGGTTTGGCTTCCAATGAAAACAACAGTAAAAAGGGTCAAACAAGGCCATCATGGATCAGAATGGTGGGGTTCTCGTTGCCGTTGGGGCCATTAAACACAGAAGGTCAGTGCCCTCGAAACAGGACACAACATGAATGTCCTTTTTGCATGTTCCCCTTTTTGGATGGTAAAGGGTTAAAAGGAACCTATCCTAGCTGGAGTCCTTAGTTTGAGAAACACCCGTAGTGGAGGGGTAGAAGACATGCAGGAGTCTCTTTTGATCATGACATGTTTGATTTTATAGTACCCCACCCCATCCCTATCATTCGTCAAAATAGGGGAACCCCGAACTTTCCTTTAACGGTGTTTCTCATCAGCAACCCCTCCAGATGGTTGGTTTCGCTTTGTTTTTGCTTGAAACCATGCCAGACACCGAAATGGGTCTGTGTTTTTGTTGAGTTTTGTTTTCTGCCAGGTTGGTTTTCAAGAAAACCAAGGGAACAAATACCATTTTCGCGGACATTCGGCGAAACACTGTGGTTTGGTGCAGGGTTCTACTGAGTGACCCTCGATCCCGGCTTGCACTTAGCCGGGATCTTTGGAACGTCCAGTGAAATTTTGCTGGCCCCCCTTGATGCATGGTGACTTTCTTAGTGCTGGGTTTGGGCAGGTCAACTTCGGATTCATTTGGAGGCCTTGGCTTATTGGCGGCATCCCTTTTCGAGAATTGGTTTCTAAAAGGGGAGCCACCCCTGATTTGCACAGTCCTCTAGATTAATGTGAAGTTCATGTTAGCGTTCAATTTGGCAACTTAGCCAGAAGTGGGCTTATGCGGGGGTCCTCTTTTTGGGGAATATGATCAACCCCGACCCCCTAGGTTGAAGCGATTTTGGGTGGCCAAGAACAAGAGCCCTGGTTTGGTGTCCAGATTTCTTGGCAAATCATCATTACAACAATGTAACTACCAATCAGATGCTAGCAATTGCAACGGCAAACCTCAAGGCCCATGCCCCTTGAGGTCCGAGAAGGGCGAGATCGGGAGGGCCTTCTGGAAAGCCGAAGCTTGTGGCACTTCCCTACCCCGAAAGTGAGACCTGGGCTCCCTCAAACCTGTCTGTACAAATGCTTCCTAGCAAGGAGTTGTTTTCCATCTGGCCTCCTCCCCCACTGCCCGCCTGCGAGTACGTATCCGACCACACAACGAAAGGGCGCATGTTGGTTGGGAAGTTTATTTTCAGGGCAGCTCCGTCGAAAAAAAGGAAAAGAAAGCGGGGGCTCACTGGAGGTCTGGAAGTTACGTACCTTGATGGTGAGCTCGTGCAATCCCTGGATCGCAGAGCTCGCCTTTTTGGCATGTGATTTCCAATCATTCATGTATGTTCAGATTTAGATACACAGATGTTGAATTATATACATGTATTTGCGCTGTTTTAGGTTAGTTGTTGATTCATTTATTTGTACCACATGTGTTTGCTGAATCTTGCATCCTGCCAAAATTTGAGGAGTGTCTTCGAGTGCTGGCTGCACATCCTGCAGCGGGGCCGGGAGGTCAAGGCGGGTGTGGCTCCCGGGCCACTCGGGTCCGGTCTGTGAAGCGGTGCATGTAAGCTACTCCCAGGGTTCCTGACTGACTTTGTTGGGGAAGATGGTGGAGAGAAAACTCGGATCCTTTGGGGCCGTTTTTGTTATTTGGGCAGGTTTCCTTGCCAAAACTGAGCCAGGCAAAAGGGCAAGGGGGGTTTGAGCTGGTGTAGCAGCTCCAGATTCGGGCCGTAATTTTCTACGGAAAGATACCCAACCGAACCGGTCGACCTGGCATGTTGGCAGAGCCGTGTGCGTCTCGGGCTGGAGGAGCCGAATGGCCAAGTGTTGCTTTCCTAAGAGAAAGCCAACAAGCGGATATTTGTTTGGATAGTGCGTGATTTGTCTGCTGTTATTGTAGGAGCCATCCCAAAATGTATGGGAATTAGGGGATGTGTCATTCTGTCCAGCACTATATTTGGCACATCCCCACCCCTGAAAATGGAAAATGGACTTGGTTCCGGGGTTGACCCCTGAAGATCTCCATTTATAGTTCAATTTCCCTTTCGCTGCAAAAATGAGACTGGCCACCCAGCCTCGGGTTTCCGCCATGTTTTCTATTCTAGAGGGCATTCCAAAAATGAATCGGAGTAGCCCAGGCGTGGCCCGGCTTTTTCATGGGCGGGAGTCTCCGGACGCAGGTGCTCGCCCCGGTCCTGGCAGACTGCCTGCAGGACGCCCTGGATGGCCACCACCTGCGGAAGAAGTACCTGTCCTGGCGGCACCTCGATTTGAGCGTTGAGCGTCAAACACCATGGGGGAGGGGGAGTGTGGATGGTTCTTGTATTTTCTCGAAGTGGGGAAAACACAATTTGTTTTGAAGCTGGGCCCTAAATTTTAAATTCAGGGTTCCCGTATTTGTTTTGAGAGCAAGTGATTCCAGACCTGCCAAGAACCGCACGGCACTGGAAGTTTTGACCAGGCGGTGTAGCTCCTATCTCTTATGTCCCAATTGCACGAAGTGGAGGCCACAAGATGTGTTCGTTTGTTGTGGTTCCAGCCTTTTTGGTGGAAGGAGCAGGGAGACCAACAGGAAACCACAAAATTAGGGGGAGCCTATTGTAACGCTCACCTGTGACCGTGCTGACCTTCATGAAGGACTTACTGCCGGCGACGGAGGGAAGTACCAAACCCACCAAGAACGGATCTTCGGTCGGGTATGGTTAGTGCCTGGGTTGAGTTGGATTTTCACCCGGCTGTTTTATTGATGGTACATGTGATTTGGCCTGGCTCCCAAGAAGGTGGACATATGACTTGTCTTGAAAACCCGCCAAGTTTGCGGTTCCCCTGCAAAAAGGACATGCCCATCGGTTTTTAATTCCAGGAATCCGCCGTCCGCTCCCACGTGGCCATGGAACCTGGCAGGTGCCACGACAATATTCATCAAGGGACCTTCCGGTGGGTTTCATGCTTTTTGTTTGGAGGGTGCTAGATTGGATTTAAAATCCGGAGTTTCTGGTAGATGATTGGAGGACCAACCATTTTCAGGCAACATAATTCATATTCAAAGCAGGTGAAGTCCTGTTGAAAACACGCCGAACACGACAGGGAAAGAGGAATGCTTAGTATTGGCAGCTTGCTCCAGCCTCACTTTCTGAAGGCAAACGGGAAGTGGCCAATCAAGCACAGCGGGACAGCTCATTCAACTTGCTAGATTCGAGCGCTCACCGCGGCGAGCAAGTCATGCAACGAGAATGGAGGCACTGCAGAACTCCCGCCACATTGCCGTTGTCAGCGGCACCTTTTGAGGAACTCAGGAACCACCAGCAACATTTGTAGAGGGTCTAAGAGCTCTTAGATGGTGCTTTGGGGGTGAAAAAGGTTGAAGTACCTCCTTAAAGAGCTAGATACTTGGATCCTTGCTGAGCATGTACTGACCCTCGGGTGCATGAGGCGCTGGTGTGGCTTCTTGCTGCAGTGCCGGGCGGCAGATGACCAGGCAGGTTATGACGGGAATCCGGCCATACTGTGGCAATTGGATTGCGGCATTCGTCACATATATGCATAACATATGCATATGTGTGCAATGTGTATATATATATATGTGTATATGTACAGTATACAGATATACAAGTATGGACAGATACATATTCGGGCGCGACACTAAGTGTGCAGATAACTTGACGTCCATTTCAAGAAAACAAACAAGGATATTTCCGAAAGGACAGGCTGAAGAACATAGATTCACCAGTGTGACAAGCACGGCAGAAACGCACGTTCACGCTACAAAACAAGCTTTCACGCCAATCTCACGGCATTTTCACGGTGATTTCATGCTACTTTAGCGTAAGCACTTGGGGTTGAAGCTTTGTAGAAGCTAAAGGTGTCAGCAGCTTGATTACTCCATGAAATAGCACGCCATAGGCGCAAAAAAAGGTGCACAGAACGCAGTAGAAAAAGCAATTCAAGGGGAGTGCGTCCACCAAAACGTAGTTTCCGGATTAAATTTTCCCCTGGTTGACTTAAATTTGGGCAGGTCCCATTTTTAGACGACGGGGAACTTCCAGTTCCGCGGTACTGATCCTGGTTGAATCAGTTGGGAGCACCCAACACCCAGGTTGGGTGGCTCTACCACCTGGTTTGTTACGGGTGTTGCGAAAAGTGCTATGTCATGCTGGTAGAAACCAAGCGTCGGTTGATGCTCAGTTCATGGGCGTGCTTGGCACCGTGGTGTCAAAAGCCAGTTGGCAAGACCCACCTCGGCAGTGTTGGCAACAAGTATAGGGATCTGCTCCCGTTGCTGTTACCAGGTTTTTCCCCGCCACCCCCCTTTCATAGGCTTGGCATTCTTGTGCTCTGCTTCCGTTAGGTGCCGTTCCTATGGCTTTTTAGATGCGGTCGCCAGAGGGTTTTTTTCCTGTTTGGGGTCTGTTCCTAGGCCTTGGAGGCACGACTCACGACACTCGGAGTGCAAAAGTCGCTCGCTTCTTGCGCCAGGAGCTGCTGCTGTTGTCCTTCCGCTGCTGGCAGCAGAGCTCCGTGGAGCAGCGCCACAAGCGCGGCGTGCTGCTCCTCTGCCAGCGCCCCTCGACTCGAGCGAAACGGGGCGCGGGACGCGGGACCCGAGCGGGGGGTCGATGAGGGCGAAATCCCATTCTGCACCTATCTGCACCTATTACTTTGGAGGACTTGCTTGAAAATCGGTTTGCCTTGTGGATGAAACCCTGCAAATTGGGATTTGTCCCAGTCTACCGACTGGGGCAGCTTTTGCAACGACCACTGGCCGCCTAACAAGAAACAAAAAGAGGATCAATGAACAAAGGTGATTAAACGGTTCGCAAATGCACGCACTCCGATTCTCAGCTGTATGTGGGACCATTTTGGCTGACCAGACCAGAAAGTAGTTTCTAAGGTGCAATGGCAGAAAACATTTGATTGTGGAATGCCGATGACTCGGCTTTGCTGGACAGGCATGTGTTTGTGTGTGTGTGCACTCATGCGAACGGTATCATGTTATGTCCATGCACGTGTCAGGATCATGCATGTGCCAGCAGTGTTTATTTTCAAGTAAATGTGACAACACATGTATAAAGTACAATCATTCGCCCTGCAGGGCAGCCCCAACAAGTGATCCGGATTCCCTCTCCAATGGGTTGCACCCCCCAATCAACACCCCCCCCCCCTCAAAAAAAAAAGAGAGAGGAAAACCTGACGTAAAGAAAAGCGTGCAAGATACTCATTAAATATTCAATCACTCAACCTCACCCCTTTGACTCAGGCTATTCCAGCGTGCGGCTTAAGCGGAAGAGCCTTTTTGCCTGGCGCGGGCGCTTGCAGCGGCTCACGCAGGCCGGAGTTGCCGGATGCGACGGGGGGGGGGGGGATTTGGTGATCTTTCGGTGTGGCGCAGTGCCTTTTGGTGGTTTGAAACGTGGTTAGATAAATAGTTTGGGTGGTTCTAGAGTCGTTAGTGGTCATATTTTGTCAAGGTTGTATCATGGCTTCAATATGATGAGGTTAGCTGGAAATGGACCAACCACCAACTACTTGTACAGCTATGGTTCTATGTGCCATGTGTGTTTGTCCCATACCTGTGGCTCAATGGATTTTGGGCTTGGAGATCCCCGCAGGGTGCTTGAACCGACAAGCGGCATGCGTCGAAGGCCCTCTTCCTGGGCTGCTCCTGACCGAACCAAGGGGAAACCAACCATTTGAATCCGAGTTTTGACACCGAAGCGTTCCATTCCTGGCCTCGGCCCTGTTGAACTTCGCAGGGACAACTGGAGTCTGACGGAAACTGCCGTTGGGATCTTTCGTCATTGAATGCGATTTGGCACAAGACACTTGATCTGCACTATGTGGTAACCAGCAATTTCTGCCGTTATGATTCAAGTTATGATGGTTGCCGACTGGCAACCCAACTCGCCTCTCGCTGTTGATGCAGGCTAAAGGACTGCGAGTGCTGATCATACACAAGGATTGGACATCAGCATAGCGCTGAACACCCCAAGGCAAAAGGTTGAAGATTGCACAACTCCCAAGTACTCCCAAGCCTGCAGCTAGTTTCACTTGCTGCCGGCACCGCGAAAACTTCATCTACCTAGCAGTACCTATAGCTACATATTAGGTGCTTAAGACATCTGCCCCAAATCAGAACAGTTCTGCCATGAGACGACCTCATTGCACCAATATGTATCAACATAGTATGCTCCTATCGTGAAGTTCTGTAGCTCACTCACATGAGCCTTGCGATCCCGAGGCCAAAGGATTCAAGACTCAATGTTACAAAGGCTCGGATGTTCATGGTTCATATTTACACGCTGACGCGACACAGCCGGCCACCGGGCACCCCTCCCGTTCTTTCATCTCCTTTCCCTCTAAGTTTCCTGGCATGTCCCTTCACTTCCTTCCACTTCACTGCCGCTTCAGCTCCCTTCATTTCCTTGAAGACTCCTTCATTCGCATTCCTTTCCCTTTTCGATCTTTCATTTTCCTGCAGCTTGGTTTCTCTCCAGCGCCCTCTTCATTTTCGTGCAATGCCTTTGACTTGCATTTCGTTCACTTTCCAGTCACTCCTGTTTCCTTTCAGCCCCTTGTTTCGCATCGCCAGCATGCATAGCATCATCCGCATCATCCGGGATGATGCTGGCAATGCTGGGGGTGTTGTCCAGTATTAGGCACCCCCCAAAAATACTCGTTTTTGGACTCGTTTTTGGATGCTGCGGGGAGATGCTACAAAAACGCCTAAACCAATCCGCAAATCCTTCGCCCCTTATAAGGGAGGGCCCAGCATAAAACGTATGCGCATGTTCTGGTCATGGTCCGCGCATGGTCGGCGGCATGGGGCGCGCGGCCTTATACCTGAAGGTAAGCCCTAACGGGCTTTGGCTTGCGGCCCGATGACGTCCGGTGGCCGGATTTACACGCTGACGCGACACAGCCGGCCACCGGGCACCCTGCCCTGCCTGTCACTTCCTTTTCTTCTAATTCCGATTAGTTCCCGAGATGCGAACCTCACTTCCTCTGCGTGTCTTTCCTGTATCCTCGACAGTTTTCTGACATTTCCCTTCACGTCCTGTCTGATTGAGCTCCGTGCATTTCCTTTTCCTTCCCTCTGTTCTTTTTAGCTTCCGTGGCTTCAGTCCGCCTCCCATTCACGTCCCTTCAGTTCTCTTCAGTTCTCTTCAGTCTCTTCGTTTCCCATAATTCCCAATAATATATTTTCGTTCCCGTCCTCCGCTTCCCTTCGCGTTCTGTTTTCCTGCAGTTTGGTTTCTCTCCAGCTCATGTTCGTCGTGTTCGTGCATCATTCCAGTTTCCTTGCATTTCCCCTTCGCTCTCTGCAAGTTTCCCCTTGTTTCGCATCGCCAGCATGCATAACATCATCCGCATCATCCGGGATGATGCTGGCAATGCTGGGGGTGTTGTCCAGTATTAGGCACCCCCTAAAAATACTCGTTTTTGGACTCGTTTTTGGGCGCTGCGGGGAGATGCGACAAAAATGCTCGGAAGTCGCCTAAGCCAATCCGCAAATCCTTCGCCCCTTATAAGGGTGGGCCCAGCGCAAAACGTATGCGCATGGTCGGAGCATGGTCGGCGCATGTTCTGCGCATGGTCGGCGGCATGGGGCGCGCGGCCTTATACCTGAAGGTAAGCCCTAACGGGCTTTGGCCTGCGGCCCGATCACGTCCGGTGGCCGGATTTACACGCTGACGCGACACAGCCGGCCACCGGGCACCCCTTCCCGTTCTTTGATTTCCTTTCCCTCCAAGTCCTGCTAGTTTTCGGGATGATTTGAATGAACTTTTCCTTTGCATGTCTTCCCTGACAGTTTCCTGGCATGTCCCTTCACTTCCACTTCACTGCCGTTTCAGCTCCCTTCATTTCCTTGAAGACTCCTTTATTCGCATTCTGTCCGGTCCCCTTCACGTTCTGCCCTTGCATTTTCCTGCATCTCGGTTTCTCTCCAGTGCCCTCCCCATTTTTCGTGCCATTCCTTTGACTTTCATTTTGTTCACTTCCAGTCACTCCTGCTTCCTTGCATTTCCCCTCAACCCCTTGTTTGGCATCGCCAGCATGCATAGCATCATCTGCATCATCCGGAATGATGCTGGCAATGCTGGGGGTGTTGTCCAGTATTAGGCACCCCCCAAGAAGCGCTCGTTTTGTGACTCTGCAGGGAGATGCTACAAAACTCCTCAAAAATCGCTTAAACAAATCCGCAAATCCTTCGCCCCTTATAAGGGAGGGCCCGGCATAAAACGTATGCGCATGTTCTGGTCATGGTCCGCTCATGGTCGGCGGCATGGGGCGCGCGGCCTTATACCCGATCACGTCCGGTGGCCGGATTTAAGGGCTGCCGCCCAGTGCCGCCGACCCCTTCAGTTGGACTGCATCACCAACAGTCATGATGATAATGATGACTACGCACCCTCTGCATCTCCAATCGGCTGTAACGGGACTTTTGAATCGTATATGAAAAAGATAAGGATCCTCATCATAGCCGTGGCCCATCATCGTCATCATCACGGTTATCATCATCGATGATAACCATCCATCAATGCATGACTCACCTCTGCATCTCCAATCGGCTCTAACGGGACTTTTGAATCGTATATGAAAAAGATAAGGATTCATCATAGCCGTGGCCCATCATCGTCATCATCACGGTTATCATCATCGATGATAACCATCATTATGCATCCTCTGCATCACCAACAGTCATGATGATAATGATGACTACGCACCCTCTGCATCTCCAATCGGCTCTAACGGGACTTTTGAATCGTATATGAAAAAGATAAGGATCCTCATCATAGCCGTGGCCCATCATCGTCATCATCACGGTTATCATCATCGATGATAACCATCATTATGCATCCTCTGCATCACCAACAGTCATGATGATAATGATGACTACGCACCCTCTGCATCTCCAATCGGCTCTAACGGGACTTTTGAATCGTATATGAAAAAGATAAGGATCCTCATCATAGCCGTGGCCCATCATCGTCATCATCACGGTTATCATCATCATTATGCATCCTCTGCATCACCAACAGTCATGATGATAATGATGACTACGCACCCTCTGCATCTCCAATCGGCTCTAACGGGACTTTTGAATCGTATATGAAAAAGATAAGGATCCTCATCATAGCCGTGGCCCATCATCGTCATCATCACGGTTATCATCATCGATGATAACCATCATTATGCAGTCACCTCTGCATCTCCAATCGGCTCTAACGGGACTTTTGAATCGTATATGAAAGATAAGGATCCTCATCATAGCCGTGGCCCATCATCGTCACATCATCACGGTTATCATCATCGATGATCACCATCATATATGCATCCTCTGCATCACCAACAGTCATGATGATAATGATGACTACGCACCCTCTGCATCTCCAATCGGCTCTAACGGGACTTTTGAATCGTATATGAAAAAGATAAGGATCCTCATCATAGCCGTGGCCCATCATCGTCATCATCACGGTTATCATCATCGATGATAACCATCATTATGCATCCTCTGCATCACCAACAGTCATGATGATAATGATGACTACGCACCCTCTGCATCTCCAATCGGCTCTAACGGGACTCGTATATTAAGGATCCTCATCATATCCAATCGGCCCATCATGGACGGAATCATATCGATGATGAAAAAGACAAGGATCCTCATCATAGTCGTGGCCCATCATCGTCATCATCACGGTTATCATCATCGATGATAACCATCATGCATCCTCTGCATCACCAACAGTCATGATGATAATGATGACTACGCACCCTCTGCATCTCCAATCGGTCTAACGGGACTTTTGATGATCGCATATGAAAAGGATCCTCATCATAGCCGTGGCCCATCATCGTCATCATCACGGTTATCATCATCGATGATAACCATCATTATGCATCCTCTGCATCACCAACAGTCATGATGATAATGATGACTACGCACCCTCTGCATCTCCAATCGGCTCTAACGGGACTTTTGAATCGTATATGAAAAAGATAAGGATCCTCATCATAGCCGTGGCCCATCATGATCACCATCATTATGCATCCTCTGCATCACCAACAGTCATGATGATAATGATGACTACGCACCCTCTGCATCTCCAATCGGCTCTAACGGGACTTTTGAATCGTATATGAAAAAGATAAGGATCCTCATCATAGCCGTGGCCCATCATCGTCATCATCACGGTTATCATCATCGATGATAACCATCATTATGCATCCTCTGCATCACCAACAGTCATGATGATAATGATGACTACGCACCCTCTGCATCTCCAATCGGCTCTAACGGGACTTTTGAATCGTATATGAAAAAGATAAGGATCCTCATCATAGCCGTGGCCCATCATCGTCATCATCACGGTTATCATCATCGATGATAACCATCATTATGCATCCTCTGCATCACCAACAGTCATGATGATAATGATGACTACGAAGCATCATAGCCGTGGCCCATCATCGTCATCATCACGGTTATCATCATCGATGATAACCATCATTATGCATCCTCTGCATCACCAACAGTCATGATGATAATGATGACTACGCACCCTCTGCATCTCCAATCGGCTCTAACGGGACTTTTGAATCGTACATGAAAAAGATAAGGATCCTCATCATAGCCGTGGCCCATCATCGTCATCATCACGGTTATCATCATCGATGATAACCATCATTATGCATCCTCTGCATCACCAACAATCATGATGATAATGATGACTACGCACCCTCTGCATCGTCATCATCACTGTTATCATCATCGATGATAACCATCATTGTGCATCCTCTGCATCACCAACAGTCATGAGGATAACGATGACTACGCACCCTCTGCATCTCCAATCTCATCATCATGATAATCATGTCAATGGGCTTCAACGCCACACTTGAAATGTATACTATACAAAGACATGGTGACGACTACGTATCAGCATCACTAATCATGTCCACGCATGATGATGATGATGATGATGATGATGATGGTGGTGCTGATGATGATGATGGATGATGCTGATGATGATGATGATGATGATGATGATGATGATAACTATCATCGTAGCATCCTCTGCATCCCCAATGGTGATGATAACTATCATCGTGGCAACGCATCCGCAGCACCCTTCCCGTGCGCCTCCCCCTTTCAGGAGCAGGGGTCGGCGGATTTGTAAACCATGAACTACAGCTAATTCCAATTGGAAGCCATGTCAAATGGTTGGCCGTTCAAGTCGGCTTTCTCGAAGGGTTCTCCAAGCAATCCCTGGCTGCACGAGGTCTCGGAATCGGTGCTGCACTGGGCGGCCCGCCTCGCCACGGCCTTGGCGCACAAAGTGCAGCTGGCCTGGCATGACACCGCCCGCCGCAGGTGGGGGATTTTCGAAATGGCTGACGATTTGGATGCTTTTGTGGATCCACCCCTGTAGAACCCTAGAGTACTAACATATTACTTAAGAAAGACCAACAGTGATCTCTGATCCCTGCCTTCTCTAGGCAGCACTTTTTGAGGGCTGCAATGGTTCCTCGTAACTTGAGTTGGAGGACAATATGCTTTGGATTCTCTTGGAGCGCATGCGTCGTCACTCCAGAAGGCGTTTGCTCGCTTCACATCGCTTCACATGGTGTTGGGCTGGAAAATCAACAAACAAAGACGCGCGGGATTCCAAACCACTGTAAGGGTGCATCCGACATGGAACTTCCTCCACTGCCTTGAAATGGCAAAAAAAGAGTTTCGCACGAGTTCACGCCTGCGTAGGCGTAGTATGCTCCCAGCACGATGTATGTACTGAGAACGGTGGTGTGCGCGAACTGTTTATGGAGCATAGTGGTATGTGCGAACAGTTCTTAGGGCACTGTATGTTCGAACAGTGCGTGGTAGGCGCGTCCATTTCATGAAGGGTGGTGGTATGCGAAGAGAGCCATGACTCGCTTGCATGATCTTTTGGTTTTGCCTAACTCATCCTTTGGCCTGCTATGGCCGCTGGCGTTCTTCTTTGCAGATGATGATGCTTGGAATGTGTTTGCCAACCTGAAAAGGGTACGCTCAACAACCTCAGCACAAGCCCACCTATGACAAGCTGACCCATGATGAAGGTTCTTAACCGTTTAACCCAGCGCTCCATTGCCCAGTTTTGGATTCATGACACCTTGCCCAGGAGCTTCAATTCTTTTTGGATACCCTGCTGTTTCGAGTATGAGGGCGCCCTTGAAGGTGCCCACACCCAGAGGTATGCTACAGCATGATATCGAGGGGTAAAGGGCGCCCTTGTCAATAACTGGTAGTGGGCATCAATTACATCGGGATCATGTCCAGCAACTATTTTGGAAGTTGTTCCCTATCAAAAAAACATGCCCCCTGACCTTAGGTGATGCCGGAGGGAGGATGTTCAGGAATGGATTTATGGCATCAGTGGCTTGACCATTCATCAAGCCTTACAGCAAGTTCTTTGGCTTGGGCTGAGCAAATTGGACTTGCCATCCCTCAGCCCTTAGAGCACGGCCTCGTCAAGACATCACCCTAAAAATGAAATTGGGGCCCCCTGGAATTCCATTTGTGGTTCCAATGTCCTATTTTTTGGGAAACGTGGGCAAACGGAAGTGAAAGATTCGCATCTCCACCCAGAAGGTGGAGAAGCCTGCCACAACCAGCAGCCCTCTTGGTTCACCTCGAAAACTGGAATGTAAGTTAAGAGGACTTTCGCCACCTAACAAACAAAGAGACACACACACAAACAATCACACACGACACCACAATGACACAAACACACACAAAGACACAAACATACCAAAACAATGGATACATGTTCGACTGGCAATTTCTGATGGCACAAGCGAGAGAGAGAGAGAGAGATAGAGAATGGATACTTGATTCTTGACATTGGCATTCGTGACAGCCCTTGTTGATTGGTTCGCAACACGACTCGATTAACATCATCTGAAAAAGTTTAAAACAATCCTTGTCCACAAACAGAAGTATCAACGCAGAAGGCAAGGTCTACATAGCAAAAGCATGGCTTTACCTGGGTGGTCGCCTGCTTCAGGAGAAGCAGTCGGCAGGCGGAACAAGAGCTTTCGCTGCGAAGGCGGGAGCTGCGCGGAATGCGTGAAGGGGGAGATGGGCATGTAATGCCTTCTGGTCCCGTATGGTCGACCCTGATTGATTCGGGGTGGCGCAACATCCCCGACAAAACACAACCTTGTTGTTAGATCACAGTGCTTCCCGCTTGTGTGGTTCAAGGACAAGGGCAATGCCAAATGAGCAGCGTGTTTTTCTCAGATGATGGATTTTAGCTTCGTGGGGAACTCCCAAAAGCTCCGCGAAGGCACTTGTGCGATACATTGTGTACCGCGAAGCCCCGCGAAGCCACTTCGCGTAGCCCGGTAACATTGACACAGGCGAAGCCACTTCGCGAAGCCACTTCGTGGTTTGAGTGTATTGAGTGCTTTCATGGCAAGTGTTGTGCGCTTTCATGGCAGTAGTATTCCAAAGGTTGATGTTTAGAGTCAGCAGGCTACGACAAGACTACAGGAAGATTACGGGAAGACGACCGGAAGAGCACTGTGCGTTTCAGGCCCGGTTTTGCTAGAAACGATGGAACGTTTTCGCGAAGCCTCTGCGAAGCCCCCGCGAAGCCCCCGCGAAGCCTCCGCGAAGCCACCGCGAAGCCACCGCGGTCCAACTTCCATGCTCCGCCCCTTTGAGGCCCCAACAACATGGGGGCGCAAACGTCAGAGATGTTTGTGGAACAAACATCCGCGAAGCTCGGCGAAGCCAATCCGCGAAGCCACAGTCTTGCCGCAACCCTTCCACAAATTTTGGCCCCGCGAAGCCCCCCGCGTAGCCCCCCATCAGTGTATAAGCCCTGAACCTCTAAAAAACAATGCTCAAATGGCCATTTATCGGAAGAGACAACCAGAATCGGAAGCTTTATTGGCTTCATGACTTTTTATGGGTTGTTTGCTTGTTTGATTTCCTGCCTGGCGTTTCCATCTCATGATGCATCCGTTTTGCATACCATTGAATGACTTCAACTTACTTCTTGTCAACATGTGCAGGGCTCGCAGGCAGACCCTTTACACGCCTTGTCACAAGCTCCAGGGAGAGTGTTCTGGGCAGAACAGCCATCTATGAGGTCCACCAGGTAGTGGTTGCTTCGGTTTTTTTTTGGGCCTGGACACTGTGAGCTTCCAGTTGTTCGCTGTCACTGTTTCTGCTTTGGTCGGTTTGCCGCTGTACCTGTTTACTCATTCTAAATCACCTGCACCAAAAGCAAGGTGGCGGTTTGGTACCGTGGATGGCCAAAATCCGGCACCAGTTGGGATGGACGAACCCCGGACACAGCATACACAGCAAGTCAGGCACTTGCCTCCGGGCAGGCTGGCGCCTCCATTCCATCTTCATCTTGACCATCCGTTCTCAGTGCCCTTGGGCAAGTTAATTCACAAGCTGACCAATCCGCGTGCAAACAAGCTTCATTCCAAGGGAATCGGGGATCTCTCATTTCCATTTTGAGAACAGCAACTTTGCCCGAAATTCTGGACAAATTCCTCACAGAGTCCCTTGGAGCAGAACAAAGCGGTCAGAACTCTGCCAGGCGCTCGCGGCTGGTGGGCTCATGGCGCCTGCTGCTGCTGAGGAAGGTCACGGCCATGGGCGTGGCGGAGGCCATGGCTTTTGCGCGGGCGAAGAGCTGGTGGCGGGTTGTTCAAGGGGGCCCGTTTCAAGGTTTAGGTAAGCTAAAGGAAGGCTACCCATTTTTGGGAGTCCCCCTATTCTGACACATACCCAAACTTTATTGAATGTTCAATTTCTTGTTTTGCCACGCAAAGGGTTCAGACCTTGGCCGCTTAGACCTTCTGGCAACAAATGCTGTTTCCATCAAACCTACAAAAGGTTGGACCTTTTCTTCAGGGGAGGTAATGGTTGAAGCAGATTGAAATATGGACTTCCAACGTCTGCCCGTCTTCCGAGTGGTCCACACTTCACTAGGACGAGCAATCGGCCATGAAACACCATCTTAACGACGCAAGGAGGGAATCAGCAAAATGGGCAGTTTCCAAGCAAGTTGACCTGGAGCGCTATCAACGCCGCTTGTCCATCGATGAGCTGAATCCATCAGCTTGTGGATAGGTGTGTTTGGTGATATTCGCAGCCATTCTCCTTGAGTTCTGAGCTGTTGCAGGTCGACTCTTGCGTCTGGCTAATTTTGCTTGCAGCTCCTTTACCATTCCGACTTGCAGCATCTAGAGATCAGATCCGTTTGCTTGAATGAACACTCATTGTTGTCCGGCTCCGATTGTTGAGGCTTAGGCTTCGCTTGCCAGGGCCATTGCGATGGCCAGTTTGGAGCCTTGCTGCAGGGGACGAAGCACAAGTGCGAAGAGGAAGGGGGGGGGACAACATTGCAGTAGTCATTTTGCGTCGTGGTGGCTTTTAGTAAGAAATGCAAAGCTGTCCATCGTCAACTTTGCCCCGGTCTCACGTGACTGTAGACCTGTGCTATATTCAAGCAGGGCAACGCAGGAGCCCAGGGCATCCCAATGACCAAGGCTTGGCCAAACCCCTTTTGAACGTGTTTGTATAATTTCCTGACTGCCGTATTTTTGCGTGGTCGTTGTTTGATCTGCTTGAAAGGTGGCAGGGTTTGGTCGTTTAAACATGCCGTTCACGGACCAAATCCTGCACCGTCTTGAAATATTGGGATAACCACCTACCAACTGGTGCGAACTGCGTTTTGTTTGTTGGTTTGTAAGCAGCCCTGCCTGAATTGACCTTCCCTCTTTCTTTTCACCTTTGGAGGCTTTTGGTTCCTTCGAAGTACAGGTGTCGGAGCCTGCTTGTTCAAGCATTTTTTGCAACCAACCCTGCCAAATACTATGAAGCACTATGAAGCACGCACTCGGTGGTTTGGAAGTTGAACCTTCAGTCCCTTTTGATACGAAATGAGAAGACACACCCTGACGCCCAAACCACTCTGAACCAACAATCAGGCTCAGACACCCAGTGGTGCCCTTTTTTGTTTCAAGAGGAGGGTTCCACTGGAGAGGCCAGTCAACACGAAAGGTGCTCGTTGGTGAACCAGTGGCTACGGGTCTGGGTACCGGGCTGGGGTCATCTTCAGGCCGTCTTGCTGAACCGGGCGCTGCGATGGATGCGGGCCTGGCAGCAGTGGGCCTTTGCTCACGCCCGGCGGAGGCGGATGGGCGGACGGGTGGACGGGCGGACGGGCGGACGGGCGGACGGGCGGACAGGGCGGTGTGGCTGGCACGCACCCCCCCCCCATGCAAAGTCACATGGAACCACAGAAGAGGGTCCCCCGAAAAATAATCATAAGTGAACATGGTCTGTTTTGTTGCGGCCGAGAGTAGCCGATCTAATGTTGGAGTTGATGTCGCGGCGCCGCGTCGACGTTCGAGGCACATGAGGTTGATTGCGGCTTACATTCAGCATAATCAGCATATATGTCTTAGTTTGGGATGTGCGGTGTGGCTGGGTTTGTTGCTTCAGAGAACGCGAGTCAAGTCGCACATCATTTTTGCATGGGCGGCCATGTCGCTTTGCTTGTTCCACACGTGCTTGCGAAGGCTGCTGCACACTGCATGTCTGGAGTTGAGGGTGCCATGAATGTGTGTCTGTGTGTGAGGGTAGATTTGGGATCATGTTTAGCGCACAAGAGGAAAACCACTTTTGGGTTCGTTTTGTGTTTTCGCCATCTCTTTACCGGCACAAGTGTCCCAAGCGCAAAGCCCTCACCTCAGGGAGCGAGACGAAGTCAAGCTGGCCATCGTCCGCGAATCGAGGACTCACTTTTTCGGGGCTTTGGGCATGGGAGTTTGACGGGGCGGCTCATAGCTGGAGGAATCCTAACCCCGGTTTCTTGAAGACCATAGCCTAGAGTTGATTGTTTTGCTAGTGTCTTTTCTTCAAAGGGACTCCTCCTGAAATATACAAACTTTTGGAGTTCCATATGTGTCTTCAGGGCTTTGCCAAAAAGCATGTCAGGACTAGAGCTAGCCACAGAAATGCCAGCACTGAGAGCAATAGGGAATGCGCAGCAAGTTGGTCTTGCCTAGTGACGGCGCACAAGCAAAGCAATGTATCAGAACAGTTGACAAGCGCCCAAAGCCCTTGGTAATCTTGGAGCGAGCCCCTTTGCCAGCAGTTGCGGGTCGATGCCGGGCCAAGATGGGTGGTGCAAAATTTGAAGCCCTGGCTCTTTTTAGACGGTAGCTTTATGTGGGGAGCCACCCCGTAACCTCCGCTGCTTGCAAGCGAAACCTCTAATCCCTGAGCCTCCTGGATAGTGAGCATCTGTCGATCGCACAAGGCCCGGTTGGTTTTCGCGGGTTCTTTTTGAGACATGGAAGCCCTATGGCAGATACGGATATGGCACAAGGTCGTGCCAACCTGGATCGACTTATTTCAATATCCCAGGTCGATGTGTTGGGGATGACCCTTTTAGTGAGGGCCGCCTCAACAATAAGAGGCAACCTTGATCAACACAGGTTTCTGCGAGGTTGCGTCACAATCAGCCAGATTGCCAGATGCCTTTTCTTTTTCTACTTCCGCAAGGTTGCCAATTCCCATGAACCTTTCCGCGCATTGGGCTTCTCACTGCTTTTTGTGCCCGCCTCCAAGCCACGCAAGCGCCCCAACGGCGGGCGGGCTGGCGCTGTTGGGCCGCGCGGTGTTTCGTCAGGAAGCGCTGGTGGGTGGAAAGATGGTGCTCTGCAGGTCGTGGGGCCCTCGGGGCTGCGGCAGACAGAGCTAGGTATGGAGCGTGCGCACGGAACATGGCGAGCTTTGGACGAATGTTTGTCAGATTGCCAACAGCCTTGAGAAGGTGTTTCATGGAGAACAGGTTAGCCAAAATGGATATCTCAAGTAAGTACTGGTGCCACAACTTTGCAACGACCAGCGGCGGCGCTGGTTACCCAAGGTGGTTGCTTTCAGGCATGCGTCAAGTGGCTGTGCGAGGTGTCACGTTCAGGAGGCTTGCAGTGATGCCCAGCTTGTGGCGAGGGTTTGGAGTCCAAGACATACTCCGTACTTGTGGTTATGGTTGATTTTGTTCTCTTTTAGCTTCAGTTGATCCTGTTTTGAGGGGGGAGGAGCCAGTTGCTTCTGTGATGCCAAAGTGAGAAAGTGGTCATGGGAGGCAACCGGCTTCGTATCACAAGGGCACCTTTTTCCAATAATGCAAGTGACAGGAGGGTTTGGGTACAGGCGGGTTTTGTAAGACCATCCTCTTGAAAAGGTCCAAACACGTCAACTTCCATGACTGTTGCAGGCCACCCCAAAATATGAAGACCGTAAAATAATATGGTTTTTAGTATCCCGTTAAACAAATCCAACAAAGGGTACCAACTCCAAGACCACACATCCGTATTGTCCCGTTTATAGATGATGCAATGGGCCATTTAAGTAGAGAACCACTTCAACAACGCACCCACATGCATATCTATATATATATATATGTAGGTGTGGCTTTTTTGAGGGAGTTCGGCTTTCCTTTGGGTTTCCCTTTAAAACCACCACAAGAAGGGGTTACCCCCACCAAAAAAAGGCCTCTTCCCACTGCCATCGGAGGCTTCCAGCGCCTGGTGGATGTGGCGCAGCGCTGGGACGGACAAGTGCTGTGCCGACAGCTGGCGGGGCAGCCCGGTGGGCGGCTGTCGGGGGGCGGGACTGCGGGACTGAGCCGTGGTGGGGTGCAGGGGTCCCGATCTTTCCCTTGTTTTGGTGGCTTGAAGCATCAGTTGGCCCAAGTTAATGTTAATTATCCCGGAAATTATCTTCCTGGCATTTGTGTTGTGGTCAATGGGGGGACCATTTGTCATGCAATGCCATGAACAATTTGTTAGTCCGGGCTTGGTGAGGGCTTTGGGGCTTCGTTTGAGCTTGTCAGGTTGGAACGGGCTTGGTTTATAAAGGCTATCCTCAGGGCTGGCTTAGCCGTGGTCTGGGTTGCTTGAGAGTTGTTAGTCCAAGCATTTGCTCTGACAAAGCAACGGGAGCTCCGGCAGGGCCATAAATAGGCCGGGCTGGAAACAAAAAAGCTTCAGCTGGCTTGCACAAGGGTGCTGCCTTTGTCACAGAGTCAAAGAGTCTGGTTTGTGCACCCGACCGCTAGCAGCAGATGCTTTGATCCTAGCTTGGAGCCACCGCCGAAATAATTTGCCCAAATCGAGAGACTGCCAGTGGATGGGCCGTTTGGCCCAACCAAAATACTGCCTGGTCCATTGCCAGTGCCCCCGACCATGCATGGTTGCGGAAAAAAGGGTTTTAGACTTGGCTTCTGTGATTCCAGGAAGATCCCCTAAGTGATAAAGTGACTCTCAATGGGGTTCAAAATCCATTTTTGAGGACCCACCCACCCCACGCTTCTTCGCTGAGTGCCCGAGGTTCGGAAGGCTTTTTTGGCCTGGTCCGCCGTGTGCATTTGGCTGAAGAGGGGGAGGAGTTGCGGGAGCGCGGGAAAGGCATGGTGTTCCATCATTTGCCGTTTTAACCAGGATATAGGCAACTTTTTGTATGGGGCTTAAGTCTTTGGCCAAGTAATCAGACAGGGTTCCTCAAAGGATGCATTCATAAACTAGCTGCTGCACATGAACATCCCAACAAAATCAGTGTGTAAAGGTGTTTTTT